TGCAGCTGTAGCCTCCACCGTGGTAAGGAGAAACTAGCGCCACAAGTCGCAAGTGGCAGAAAGTAGGGCGTGAGACTGAAAAAAGTAAATCAGTCGGTCAGTCAAATGGGCCAAAACTTTTTTAAAACAGGGCGGGCATTTGTAGGAGTGCCTCTGGTATCGTGAATAAAATGAAATCAGATAAAATATTGGGAGACCGCCAGATGGCGCCACCAATGTCGTTGGCGTGCGCAGGCGCGGCAGGCGTCCTCCGGTTCTCCTCCTCCCCCTCTTTCTCTCTCTCTCCCTCCCGCTCCTTGTTTTATTTTTTTATTTTATTTTTTTTCGGTTTGTTTTCCTCGTTTGCTCGATCGGTGTCGCGCTGGCCGCTGGCCCGCTGCGAGCGGCCAGCGCGGCACCGGTCGAGCAGACGAGCCGCGCGCGCTACACTTCGCAACAAATGCGCTTCGCGAGATATTAATTACCGCACAGTGCAATAAAACAAAAACAGCACGTTCATTGAAATGTATATTTTATTGAACACCATTCAAATTAGTTGCAGTATTCCAAGCACGTATTTACAAACTCCGTCGGCAGTCCACCGCCCCTTAAAGGGACACTGACAGGGTATTTATGCTCGCCGAGGTTTTTAGTTGTACGTGACATATGAGAGCTCAACTACCCAGAACAGAATTTGCGGCTCGAAATTCGGTTTCTTTCCGCCCGAAAACCGCCGATCAAGAACTGGCCGGTTCGAGTCTCGCTCACTCTCTTTTCCGCGGTCACGGGCCATTTTCTAAGGTATCGATGCGACCACCAAATTTAATCAAAGTCGTGGGTCACTGAAGGCACACACTCAATATTAAAAATAGAAAAAAATATGAAACCCATTTTTTGTGGCTTCTAAAAAGCTGTAAATACGTTGATTGAAAAAAAAAGTTTCACAGACAACCGGAAGCATTCTGTGCGTGCGTCGTTTCGCGTATCGTGGGACTCGCAGGGACGGCGATGGCAGCGGACGACGGGCGAGGGACCTCTATTTCGGGACTGTCGTTCGCGGTACTGGCGAATTCTGTCTACCTTTAAAAGAGAAATTTGGGATTGATCAAAAGAATTGGTCTTCATCCCGTACGACACGCCCGACCACCAAGCCGATTTGCACGAAGACGTCGCCGAGCCGTCGCTCCCTTCTCGTGGCTGAAGACATCGCTCGCGCAAACGTCAAGCACGACGTGTCTACTTCGAGTTGAATATGCACGCGTACGATTTCTTTACAAGGTTAGAATGTCGCCAATGCGTGGTGCATCCCGACTTCGACCCGGGAGTGCTTTTGCTAAAGAAAAATCGGTAGCAAACTTTCCAACTTACAGTTTATCGGCTGAATTATTACTAACGAAAGAGATCCCCAGGTCGATATGCCCCACTAGCTTAGTGGGAAAGACGTCCGCTTTACACGCCGTAGGATCGGGTTCGATCCCCCCTGAAACTTTTGTTTTTCTTTTTTTGATATGCTTTTCGATGTCTACATTTCTTTTCTTTTTTACAATTATCACTGAAGAAACAACACACAAAAAAATAAGAAACAAATGTTGTGGACGACACATCGCTGAATTAAATGGTATGGGATTTCCTTTTTGACACCTGCGAACTCAATGTAATCACTTTCCACAAAATGCAAGGAGCATATAAAGCAGGTAGCGTCCGCTTTCCGAGGTGCCCGTAAATGGTCTACAGGAATTGCAGCCAGCCATTGGTCCCGATCCCGTTGATCTTTCGGAAACTCTGTCGCACAATGCCACTTCTGTTTCGGACGCAGGACATGTGAGCCAGCTCTTCACGCAACATCTTGGGTGTATTCTTTTCGGAGCCGATCAAAATTCACCACGGGCACTCACCACTCATCTCCAACTCCTCAATATACAAAACAATTCATCTTGGAGTACAGAACAACGAGCGGAACATACATAACTGCAAAAAATCCCACGGCGAACAGTTCCCGTACGCCGCATGTCGTCTGCTACCGGGAAGGAGAAAAAACAAAAAAAAAAAAAAAACAACACAGTCGGGTGTAGCCACGTGATTTCCGCCACTTGCTCTCTTCTCTCCACTTCTCCGACCTCCGTCGGGTTTCGGTTTCGGTTTCGAGCAGTTGCGTCTTTTGGCTTTACTAAAAAAATACGCTACTCTGTTGCAAAATATTAATTGGGTAGTCCTCCGACACCATAATGAAGCGCCTGGCAAAAAAAATTAAAAAAAAATTTTGGGAGGTGTCAGTGTCCCTTTAAGCGGAACCAAGAACTGTAGTAGGCAGTAAACGTTATCAAATATGTAAAAACCAAATTAACTACTTTAATGTACAAACTAACAGAACAGCACTTATAATCGAATTATCTAAATGCGTCTATAAACAACTCCTACAAACAAAAATGCTGAATACCCAAACAAACTAATCAACTCAGATATAAAGCAGGCTTGCATTTTAATTTAGTTAACGCAGGGTTGGAGGCAAGCTCCATAAGAATAAACGATAAATAAACCATAAACAAACTCGCTAATTGGCAACGCAAAGAAGAAGAAAAAAAATCTTCTGGAGTGACTGACTGTGGGCGCTTTTAGGTACTCTATCCTAGAAGCTGTCAAATTAACTAAAGACTCTGACAGCAACTCACTTGGAGGAACCAGTCCTTGCAGCAACAGATTCGTAAAAAGAACGGTGAGGCACGTGTTTTTCCGCAAACGAATCTTCCTACATGTTGCAAACGCGGTTGCACCGGCGTGCTTGCTGCACAGACGACACGGACGCAGCTTGCTCACCGGCAGGCTCCGAAGTCCTGGCGCTTTGCATACGCAATCCATTTCGATGCTGTAATGGAAAGATTGAGAGATCATATATTTCAATGCTTCCAGTTTCGAACGTTGACAAAAAAGTTTGATATAAAGGCTCACCCGCCGTTTGTTGGAAACCGGAAGAATAAGCACTCCGAGTTCTTTTGAAGAACTGTTACTCCACTTGGCCGCGCAGTAGACTCCGTAATACGCCGTCATGAGGCACGCAACCCACTCGGCAGAATCTCTGTCAAACTAGAGACGTCTCTAATCCCTCTAATCATTTTCTGAGCGCAGACGCGCAGCTCCGTACTCCGTAAAATCTACACTTTCGATTTCAACACGCGCGGAACCGTTTGAAAGCTTGGAGTGACGAGCTCAAGCAAAAAGAGAAGACAAAAACGGTCGTTTGCACCTCGTTGGTTTGCCCTCACACTGAAGGTTGGTGATTGGTCGGAAGAGCCCAGAGTGCTTCGGTTTTGGTAGCGAAGATCCTATTCACGACGCCAGCGCTCAAAAGTACAGCGGCGAAACAGTCTGGCGTGAGACTGTTGGCTAGACCAACGAATCTGCTCTTTGGGTGGACGTACGAGAGAGGATGGATGGATGGATGAATACGGCTGAGCCCTTTGGATCGGGCGGTAGCTTACGCCACCTAGCCATTTTGTTTTACCATTTAAGCTTAGAATATTTAAATGTGAAATCTATATTCACTCCGCAGTGCAAAGAAAGTGAGGCTATGAAACCCCCTTGCCATCAGTGAATAAGAAAATACCTAGTTTTCTCTCGATTTCTGCCACCATTCACTTAATCTTTGCTTGGTAATCTCTACAGTCTTGAAATCCACTCTCCCTTCGCTGTCTCTAAAACCCAATGACTTTATTAAATCTATGTTGTCTTCGGTAGGCATAGGGTGAAGCCCTTTACAGTAGAGTATCAAGTGCTCAGCCGTCTCGTCCTCCTCTCCACAAGCAATGCACACTGTATCCATTTCCTGGTACTTCACTCTGTATGTTCTGGTTCGCAGAACACCCGTTCTTGCCTCAAACAGCAATGAGCTTCCCCTAGAATTGTCATAAATGCTTTCTTTGGCAATAACTCTTTTGTTTAATCTATAGCTTTCCAGAGCAGTCTTTGTCTGCATTCCCTCTAGCCACCGATCCCTTTCTGTGGCCTTAACTTTCTTCTTAACTGAGACTTGCTCTTCCGTATCTTCGCTATAGCCCAAAAACTTTCCTCTTAATTTCCTAGTGCGCTGTCTCCACTTTGTGTCTACACTCCTCATGTATAAATAGCTGAAAACCTTTCGTGCCCATTGCTCCCCATCCATTAGCCTCAACCTCAACCAGAGAGAAGCCAGCGACGCGGCGCCCCAATCGGCCCGACCGGGAACTCCGTTAGCTGCATTCGGCTGGCTCGGTGCTCGGAGACAGATTGGGGCCATATTTTTAGGGCTGTCTCTATGGGAGTTCCCCAACTGAGTGTTTTAGTAACGTTGATGCAGGGCGTTTTCTTTCAAATTCATTGCATTAAAAACGGCGCTAAAACGGCTTCATGCTTGTATTTACTTCGGCACTTTTCAGCGAGAGATCATATACGTGCCAAACCAACGAAGTACGTCTGGAAGCCAAAAGAGATGGGAACTACCCTGGGAACTACGCAGTAACACTGAATCAGTAACTACCCGTGCATGTACGATCAAAATAAATTGAAGGCCATGGTAATATATCCCAATTTTTAATAAGCAACTACTGCTTTATTCTTTCTGCTCTGTGCGAACTTGCTTGTTCTACGTTCAGAACATCACCCGCACGCTCGGGTATCTTTGAGAGCAAGCGCCCGATAAAAGTTGTCCGACAGAGAAAACAATAAAAATAGACACCTTTCGTAGCCAACATGCTTTATTATTTACGTTTTGAATGTTTTTATTCTGTTCGATTGTTATTTTGCTTTGAATCGTCGCTTGTTTTTACACACCTGCTGCGAATCCAATTGAAGCGAAGTTCGTTTACCGATGAAGACAAATGCGCCAACTAAAGCAATGACCTATGGCAATAACATTTTTTTTCAATGCTAATAAAGGTACATGCCATCCGGTACAACCGAAATGACAGAATTTATCTATGTTATTTTCCGGCGAAGAGACGAAATTCAAGCGCACAGCAGAAGTAGACTGGTTCTGGTTGCTGTTTAAATTTGCGTCACGGAAGTCGCAAAGTCGCATAGACACTAGCGCCAGTTGAACCTTTAGCCGCTTTAGCGCTCGCATGCGCGTGCTTTCTTTCAACTTTGTTGGCCGCTTAAATTTTTTTTTTCCTTTTTTTCTTTTTTGTTTTTGGCTTGTGTCTGTCAGTCAGGATTTTCTGCCTTGCCATTAGCACAATTAGCAGCCGAGTTGGCCGAGTCGAGCCAGGCTGATTTAACAAGCGAGCTCAGTTAATCGAGTCGCACGAGACACGAGACTGAGTCGAAGGGTGGAAGCACAAGCTGCAAGTGGCTGGAAGTGGTAACTCGTAACTGCTCGTAACTGCTCGTAACTGCGCAATGTTTTCGTCTCACTTCGTCTTGCGAGCTTTCTCTGCCTCCTCGGCTGCCAATGCTGCGATCAAGCACGTCGCTGTTATTGGAGGAGGCTCAATGGGAGCTGGCATCGCACAGGTAACGTGCCTTTCCTCGTGCCTTTTATCAGGAAAGGTCACCCGCGGAGTACTCATACCCCCCGAGTGAGCTCGAGGACCCGTACTTTGTTCTTACAACTGCAACACAACTGTAGTCGTTCCTTGTTCTGTTGCATGCTTAATGGTGTGTTCACCCTTTGAGGTGCCTGCGCTACGATTCATTTGGAGGTCCCCGTACGTAGTGCATTTTGTGAATCAAGAGTGCTGCCTACGATTTATTTTTCATTTATTTTATTTATTTATTTCAGGTTACCCCGCGGTGCCAGAGGTATTATTGCATGGAATAGAGTGGATATAAAGTCACTAAATAAAGCGTAGATTTATTAGTGACTTGTAAGTGGATGTAGTCGCGTAATATGGTGTAAGTTCATGCTCCAACTAAAATGGACCGTAAAAATCCGCGCCTCTACGAAGCAATCTAAACTTATCATCAAAGGTGTATTTCACAGATCGTTATTTTTTTTTTCCTTATAAAGTTACAAAGTGCATCTCCCTTTCTGTAAAAACTAGAGCCGAAAAACTTGCCAGGGTCAACGGCCGATGGCGACGCAGACGACCGAGTCAAGTTGGGGACGCATTTGGCCCGCATACCCTTCCCTCCTCCCATATCTTTCCCATTAAATTTAGCGAGGAAAACGACATCACATGGGACTTCGCGTCATTCCCCTGTGAACAAATTCAGTTTCTTTGCTAGATTTAGCAGGAAAATTCATGTCACATGACCTCAACACCAACTAAATTTCCTCCAAAATTTAGCAGAGCGATTACCCCGACTATGACGCCGCTGTTCGCGGAAACAGGCACGTAAGAGCTGCGTTCTAAAAAGGGGACAAGCATGCAAAATTTATTTTCAGTCTTTCTATAAGTACAGCTGCGGCATGCCAGCTGCAGCATGCCAGTTGCGACATGCCAGCTGCGGCATGCCAGCTGCGGAATGCAAACATGAGCATTTACATTCCACTTTCATGTGTCGCTAAAACCCCACATGAATCCTGTAAGTGGTGTTGCAACACGGCTCTGTGTTCTCAGCGAGCCATTGGTAGAGCCGTTGTTATGGACAAATACAAAAAAAGTTAGCTATTTTTTGTAAGCAACTTGTCTCCTCAATATCTAATCGGGAAGACTTCCTTATTGCCTCAATGGGCCTTTTCCGGGGTTTCCACGGCGCAGGCGCAGCAGCAGCAGACAGGAGTCCGCCATTTTTGGTGGAGTGGTGCGTCCGGCTCGGGACTGCTGGAGGCAGCGGTGGTCGCTCGTTTCTAAGTTCTCCGACATGCCCCAACACTGTTTTGTTGTTGGCTGCAGCAACGACAGTAAACGTTGTCGCGGTTTAAGCTTTTTTGGGTTTCCTTCTACCAGCCTGCACCCGATCCAGCGAAACAATGCGGACGACTCGTAAAAGCAGCTTTCAAAGCACACCCGCGCAGTTGCCACTTCAAGGATGGTTCATGTTTTTGTTACTTTATTTCTTGTTTGGCGTAAATACAAGTCAGCAGATTGGTTAGGTATGCTGTCGTGTCGCATTTGTGCCACGTAGAGCGAGTGTCTCGGAGTTGGCGTTTCTGAGATGGTGCGTTTCACTGGCACACGTTTTTGCTTCCTAATAATAATAAAATAACGGTCTCGCGTTGGCTACTCAAACTGCCTGTCTCCATTTTAGGTTGTTGTAACATTAGAATCGCCCACAGTTTCCAAATATTTATTAAGCATTGAAGTAAAGAGGTTACGCTGCACAGTTTGTTGCTACGTGCACACTCAGAACGTGAAATGGGAGCTGCTCTCTCACTACCACGACCGCATCTGCTGGTCTTGTGGTTAAACAAGAAAGAGGAAACAATCGTCTTGATGTGTTCTCCTCAAGTATATATCGAGTAAAAAAATATTTTTTAAACATTCTGTACAAGCACGACACTAAAAAAAAAAAAAAAAAAAGAAAAAGAAAATACAGGTGTGGCTGATTTCGTGTTTTCTCTCCAGGACCTACAGTCCCACACAGCTATTCGCCTCGAGATCGAACCGTGTCGCCACCGTGCAGCCGAAATTGGAAACGCGCGAAAGCGGGGATACCGCCGTGCGTCGTCTGCTACGGGCGCACGCTCGGAAGCATGGATCTCGACGACGCAAGCCCCGTTTCAGGCTGAGCTTGACATTCCTTATTAAATGTTTCATGTTTTTGTTGCCGTTTCTTCTTACGAAAGGTTGTGTTGTATCGTTTCCCATGCGTAGAAATTCAGCAAAGCGATTATTATTATGTCGGAAGCTTCCATAATTTTAGTGTGTTGATTTGTATACAATCGCTGGTCCCACGTATTTTTGTTATCTCGCACAAACCGTGGCTTTCATAAAGCGTTGAATGTTAAGTGGGTCTGTGGTTTGATTAGAAAATTAACCCGACTGATCGCTGTCCTTTAATAGACTAATCAATCAATAAATTCGTATGTTGATTTTTCGCCGGTCGTATCGCGTGAAAGACGTTAAAACTACACATTTCTTTTATAAGCCGTGAGAAAGTGCAGGCGAGCTGGTAATCAATCGACATCTTGTAAACACTGAGATGGGGAACGATAAAAATAGATTTTGTTGTGTTCGTCCTTTTTTTTTTTATCGTTCCCCATCTCAGGGTTTACAACATTTCTTTACTGGTTTTACTGTGCCATAAATGGGGTATTGCATTTCCATTCTAAACTTCACGTTGTGAGTCCCACGTAAATATGAACACTGGAAGGCCTTTTAAAATCAAGTATTTTTCAAGTTATTATTTAAACAGTATAATCGCCCTCGGTGAAATGACAAGCACGCTGAAGTCGTTTATTGTGCAAGCCTGTGTCACAAAAAAAATAAAGATGTCAAAAAGATTAAAGCAGGCATTTTTTACTCCTTGATTTTCTCCAGCACAAGACTCCAATTAACCGGCAAAAACAAAATTTCAATAAAGCATTACTTGAATAATTTGAAAGTTAATCGATGAACTGCCCAGTTCCGATATACGTTAGGTGAGGGCAGAGGGTGATCGGAAAGTTTCGTGAAGGTCGCTAGCCCTCATCAGTAAAAAAGTATCACTGCGGGCGATGCTGTCTGTGTCATGGTGCGCGTCGTTTTTTGGGGTTGCAGAGTCTACTGTGGTTGAATACAAGATTATTTAGCCAGAAATTTATAGTATTAGCCTCTTGACATCCGCGGCCCTCACCAAGAAAATTGAAGCTGATGAACCCACACTACCGAGAAAAGCATTTAATAACATTAGCATTGCTGCGTTGCTCGGTTACAATTGTTTATTACAGTCATGGCAGATATATTAGAACAGTTTGTTTCACCTGTTTCAGTTGTCCTGCCAACCGTGCAGTTTGCAGATCTTAACTAGAAGAGACACACTCTCCTCATCGCAACGCAGTACATTTGTTCAGACTCCAAAAAACTTACCTACACTATGGCACAGTAAAAGGGCAGAGGAACTCAATAGCATGGTAATTTCCAATACAGCGCTAACTTATCTTCATTCTAAATATTTATATTACTGCAAAAGCTAGAAGTTAAAAAAAAAACAAAAAAACATGGAAGCTGTGATTTCACAACCCACAGTACCAGTAATTATGTTATCTGGGTTGGAATTAATTTTTTTTTTTTAATTCCCACGTTGATGAACAAATACATTCATTTTAAAAGAAACAAATATTTAACATAAATATTCCACTTCAGCCGGAGACAGGCATCAGTCGTGGTGATCCATGCTTTCCAACGTTTGCCTAAAGCAGACGACGCACCCAAAGAAGCGATTTTAAACATTTAGGCCGCACGCTGGCAATACGATTCAATCTTCACTGAAGCACCGAACAGTACTGCATCCTTTTCCGCTAGAATTGTTTTTCCACCGATAGTATGCGACAAAATAAACGCGAGAATCTACGCCGTCTCGTGCGTGAACGTGGAGAGCCTATGGGGCGGCCGTTCTCCTATCCCCGCTTTGATGATGATGATAGCGCGACCGTAGCGCCACCTCTAGGTCGATCTCGAGGCCAATAGCCTGGAATGGGGTGACATCAATGACGAGACTCGCTCAGAAATCGGCGGTGCACGTATACATCTTAGATATGTATTAAAGTTGTACTTTAGCGGTAAGTTTGATCTTGTGAAATTTCGCATTGTTACTTCCTTCCAGTAAAAAACGAGAACAACCAAATCGACAGGGGCAGCGGCGGACGCTGAACGCGTCCGCCGTTGATCCGACCAAGTTTGTTGGTCTCCTTTTTATAGGAATGGAGCTACGCATTGAAATTTCACCACTAAAGTACACCTTTGTTGAAAATTGCATTTCTACGTGCAGGCACAGAGTTTTCCGGACGATTTCAAAGCAAGCCTTTACAGTTATGAGAATACTTCTTGTCATTTAAAATTTTCGAGGATTATACAAATAACTTGCAATTAAAAAAAAAAGATTTTTTTAACTGTAATTCAGTTTCGAATATTTTTTGTTTAATTTACTGCCGGTACTGCATATAACATAAATCCTAGTTTAATGTAACCGTTTGTACTATATATCTCATTGGTCGAAGAGGGCTTCAACTGTGCCGTCAGTCACAACGGGCGCCACGGCGAAGTCCGCCGTCCCTTTCGGACGACAGACTTTGTTGTCGTCCGAATATTCGAAAACAAAAAATGTACAAATGGACAAAGTTATCCATAGTTAACGCATTAATTGAAAACAAATCTGCTCGGCGATCGCGTTGTATAGAGGAAAAACAAACGCGTTCAGACAGCCAACACAGCTTGGAGCGGGCAGAACCGGAAGCAAGGCAGGCCATCAAAAACGTGTCCCCTGCTTGCCGATAGATGGCGCCCAACATTTGCGGAAAAGGCCCATTCCATATAGTGATGACAAAAGCCCATAGTAAGGTTTTACTCCAGGTTTGGCTTTCGTAGCAGATAGTGCAATGGATTGGCAGGTCCAGTGGGCCTCACCTCTCTAATATAACATGCAACTGCATTGAAAAAAAAAAAAAAAAAAATATTAAAACATTGGTGTGTGTATGTTTATACAACTTGAAGTTAGTCTGCCTCAATAGGTGACTTGTCTCTCAGCTATAGATGAGCAATTTAGCCAGTGCGGTACAACTGCTAGCCTGGGGTTTTAATGTGCACCACGCAGTAGTGATACACGACTGCAAACCGGTATAATGTTCAATCAGATCGAAACGGGCAGTGGTGGGGATTACACCAGGGATCCCTGGGTTCCACAGCTCGAGCTTTTGCTTTATATTCTCTGAGCTAGTGTGAGCTAGTTACTCGGCCACCAATCTTCCCCAACTGTGTTGAATTACATTGGTGAATGAGCGACGAAGCAGCTATTTTTGGGGATGACCTGTGGTACTTCGGAAGTGAACACTGTGCGTGCACAGCTTTGATTGACGCTCAAGGTCCTGGAGTGCACGGACGGACGCGTTTAGCTTTGGCTTTATTACCGCAGGAGGCTTCCACAATATTCTTTTGTGACAAACCCTGACCTAGTTGAGACATGCGAAAACACGTGAAGTGCAATAAGTTACGACAATCACTCAAATTGTACAAGTGGTGTAGTGAAAGCAGGGATGCATTTCCAGAGCTTATGACAGCACAAATTATGATTTATATGCTATCCTGGGTTGCTTCAAGACTTCAGTGGATAGAAAAGCAAGCTGTACGTCAACAGCAGGTATAAGCTTATCGAATGCTTTTTCCCAGTTCTTTCACTTTCTGGGTTCCTGTGGAGAACTAAGGAATAGGTATGGTTTTCTGTCGCTGCGATGGTTGCAAGCAGGTGCAAAAAACAATCCCTTATGGCAAACGCAGAAAAAAAAAAAAAATTGGGGTTTAAAACAAGTTGCATCATAGCCAAATTACTTGCACCTGTACTGCGGTGCACCTCTGTGTTTGCAATTACGAGGAGAGTCTCGCTTTGCTTAATATCAGCGCATCGGCGAGAAAATCACAGATGTGCTATTCTTACTGATGCAGTATCATATATTTTTAGCAGATAATCCTCTCAACTTTCCATGATTTGTGTCACACGATATCTCATAGTGCATGCAAATAAAATTTGTTTTTAGAAACCAAACTAGTTTTCTTAAACCTGCCGTGTTCCCAATAAATACAAGATCTAAATCGTGTTAGTATTATTAAAACAATTTAGACTATTGCAGACAACATATTTCTGTAATTTTTCTGCAGCTATCTCAAGGACTGCAAGTGACATTATTAATTATTTCAGAAACACGATTCTCAGCAAAGTTTTGTCTGGATAAGTATGATATTCAAGCTTCCTATATCTACTCTTCTTGGACGTTTGAATCCCTCTTCTGATTAGTAATCATTCTTTCGGAGCAAAATCTAGTCCCATGTGTTGGTCCATAGCAGTGCTCCTAGTAATTGTTACTTGTGAGCACTGACGTCTCATAGGTTCCATTGCAAGCCCAAGAACATATTCTATGTTAAAAAACACAGGTTTTACTTGAAAAGATTATCTACTTTGGTGGGCCAATCACAAATTGCACTACAAAAATTATTTTATTTTTGTCTCTCAAAAAATGTTTTTGTTTGTGTATTTGCTTTTTTTGCAACAATCACAACAAAAAAATACTACCTCGTTGGAGGAAAACAATTTACCTTGCTTTACACACATCTTTTTCCCTCCTATACAACATCTGAAATTCCTAGATCTAGAGGAAATCTTGAGGTTGGGCAGCGCTTGAAGTGCAAATAATAACAGCTGAAAAAGGTACAAGGGGAGCACTGCCACCACCTATCATACGTGTCGTTTGGATAGGCATGTGGTACTTGAGAAAACGTGTCCTTAATTCCTTACTTTTTATTCTGGTAAGCACACATTGAAATTTTGATGCAGAAAATGCACCACCCGTGGGCACCTGTGTAGTAAACCGTTAGGTGATAGTTAACCTTTTCCCCTACTAATAATGAGTGTCACACGTGCCACCCCTTATAGATCATAAAGCCCAACCACAAGCGTTACTCATGTTTCGGTATTGGCGCTTGTTTAGCGAGCTTTCTGGCAGATGGCAAAACCACCGCTGTTGCTCCATTTAAGTTGAGTTGTTTGCTCATTTGTTTTGCTGTCTGACAGAGAAAGAATGGTCCATTTAGCCCAAAAAAAAGAGAAAAGCAGTCGCTTGTACACATTTACGCTAAAACAACATGGCTTAGGTGCAGAGATCCGCTTTAGCCAACAAAGAGATACAAAATCTTTTTTTTGAAAGTGATTAACGCTCAGACTTATTTGACGACGTATCCTTCAGCCTTTCCGATTTTTCGGAATCGGACAATAGTTTGACGGACACCGAAAGGAGTGATGAAGACAATGCGAACCTTGCAATCATTCCATCATTTCGGCGTCTGCACGTCAGTGGACTGGATCCAGAAGTCCTGATTTAGAGCAAGATACCACGCCTGAAAGTTGAGGATTTTTTTTTGTCGTATTTTAATGCAAAGTGTTTCTTTAAAATATAATTTTGCTATACGTTCCTCGAAGAAAAAAAAAAAGAGTAAACAAGGGCTTAAGAAACCAGTTTATGCAATCCCATCAAAGGGCCAACATGTCGCTGGATCACCAAAGGGTCAACATGTCCGGCTTTTTGTTTCTCTGCTGCAAGTTTTCACTGGATTGATTTGCTTTTGCGCCTGCTGACTTCGTGAAAATTCCCAGTTATCTGAGCTGTTCTTTGAAGTTTGTCTGTGTGTTTTTGTAAATCGTTATGTATGTCACAGTAAAAACTGCAGTGTTCTGCATTAAAGAAACAAATGAATAAAATTTGGTGAAAAATACTAAAATGTTTTCATCTACAAAAAAAAAAAAAGAAAAGATTGGTCATTACATGCATTTGAATTTCTTAGACGAGAGATTATTCAAAATTTGTTTCTGTGCACGAGGCATTGAAAACGCAGTTTCAATAAAAGCAAAGGTTGTTAAGTTTACAAGATGAATGTGAGGGACTATGCAAAGGCATGCTAAGGGTGTAGTGGCAGCGACACGGTTTATTAGATAAGCAAGAACCCCGCTCCGTGCACCTCGCATAAAGAGAAGTAGTTTTACTTTTCTCGTAGAGGTGGTAGCTGCACTTTCGTAGTTTGATACAATAAAATGCTCAATCCAGCCTTAAAATTGCTTCAGGTTGACAGTTAACGTCGTCAGTAACCTAACTTTTGTAACTTAATTTATTTTGGACACAATGCCTGACGTAACGTCATTGCGTTGGGTGTATGTCAGGACAGCCAGAAGTTATAGTCAGCCCCAATGGTCAACCGGTGTATCGGCTGTAGACGAGAAATTTAGCCCGTGCAGTATGACTGCTAGCCCGGAGTCTTTAACATGCATGTTGCAGTAGTGATACATGACCGCACGCCGGTGCGGTGCTCATCCAGCTTGAAGCGGGCAGGGGCAGGGATTTAGCCCAGGATCCCCGTGTTCTGCAGCGTGGAGGTTTGGCTCCATGCGCTTCGAGCTACGGTGCATTGGCACCCCCAGCCACCGATCTCTTGTGGTTGATGCACTTTTGCTAATGTATTCCAGGTGGCTGCACAAGCCGGCCACCAGGTGGTGCTCGTAGATGTGTCGCAAGACCTCTTGGAGAAGTCCAAGGGCCGCATTGAGGAGAGCCTCAAGCGGGTCTCGAAGAAGAAGTTTGCCGACGACAAGAAGGTTGATGGCCTCTTTTTTTTCTCGCGCATCTTCCATTCTTGTTATTGGGACTGCCTTTTTTTGTGTAACAACGCGCTTGTCGTTTCAGGCTGGCGAAGAATTTGTGCGAAAGGCAGTGTCGGGAATTTCGTTGAGCATCAGCCCCGTGGAGGCTGTGAAAAACGTGGATCTGGTTGTCGAGGCCATCGTCGAAAACCTGGATGCGAAGAAAAAGCTGTTTGCTTCCTTGGACAAAGCGGCAGGGCCGTAAGTTAGCCCTCTTCAAGTAAAAGATGGCAACTATGGCAGCCAAGTGGTTGTAATTTTTTATATGACAGAGGCCATGGTTTCTAAGAGATGTCACTTTTCTCTTCCAACCAGCTCTACCATATTTGCGAGCAACACCTCTTCTTTGCCGATATCGGAAATTGCAAGCAGTACCTCGAGGAAAGACCGCTTTGGGGGACTGCACTTCTTCAATCCTGTTCCAGTGATGAAACTTTTAGAGGTTGGGATTTACAGAAAACATCTATCTGCAAGCATATTAAGCTGTCATCATATGCTTTTCGCATAGCTAAAGGACCTATATATGTGCAAAACAATTCATATTCACGGTCAAAGGGAAGATGAAAATTTCTGTAAAGCTCCGAGTATATTTTAAATCAGTCGTGCCGTGCAAGAACTATGATATTTGCCCGATTCTGATGCACACTCAGTTATTATACTCAAGAACAATGGTTTCCATGAGCCCCTGACTACTTTTTCAGGTCTGATCCTAATGTGCAGGCGGTTTCATGTGTGTAAGGTTTGCCACCGCCCGGTCGCCTCAGTTCTGTCATGGTTTCCCGGTCAATTCTGGAAATAAGTATTTGCAACTACTAGAGCCCTAAGAGTCGTGAAGCTTGACCTGCATAATAAATAATGCACGAAAAGATTTTATTTGAGCAATGACTTTCGAGTTTTCTCGTTGCAGTTCCTTTACATGGTGGCTAAATCCTGCAGCAGTTGCACTATGGGAACCTGTGATTTTTTGGGGGTGGTAGCTATTATAGGGGTTGGAGCTAGGGATTTGGCAAACTTTCGTTGTTTCAATGAACCTTTGTGCATTCACCAAAATTCTACAAGGTTCAACTGGTTCAACTTAAGGACAGCGTTGCCCTACTTCAACCCAAACAGTATTGAATTTTGTGAAGCAAATAATTTATGTTTATTTAATATTCTTGTGAAATGATTACCAATATCTCAACTTGATATGAAAGCAAACAGATGTGCTTTTAATGCTTTAATGGGTAACAATAAAGCATTGTACCCAATAAACGCTGCATGTTTCCTATGCCATGTGGCATCAACTTGTTTTCAATTTTTGTGCATATGCATAAAAGTTGAATTTTGATCTAACTTTCGTCGAACTTCATGCTAGAGGTTAAAAAAAGTCGAACCTGGTCGAACTCAAACATCAGCAGGTTAGCGGCCTCTCTAGTTGAAACCTAATCTAGGATGAACCAGTTAAAACATTCACTAAACCATCTAGTTTGTTCTGTGCTCTGAACTTGTATTGCCTGCACCATACATCTCTGTCATGTTGAGGAGTGCCAGCAAATCCAGCCTTTACCTCAGTTCACCAGTTTAGAGGATTGCAAACTCGAGAACAGAGCTCTAGGAGTACAGTTGAATCTCTCGTACAAGTTAAACCAAACTCAAACAAGTTAATAAAGAAATGTCCTCTTCTCAATTCAGCTTTCTAGGGTCATCTTGTTCTGTGAACATAGAAGAAATGGTGAATGATCTACAGAACCTGCCTTTCCACACTAAATTTTGATTGCATTATGGACAGAATGGTTATAATGCCTAGATATTTTCCCGTATGAAGACCTGGTTTCTCGATCCTGAACCGACACATTTAAATTTCAGGTGGTGAGAACGCCTGAAACAAGTGACGACACCATTGCCAAGATGCAGGAGTGGGGAGCTGCCCTGGGGAAAACCACAGTCTCCTGCCAGGTGATGTCATTTTCGTTTTCCAGACATATTTGAAGGTATACAGTGCAATCCACTTATAACGATGATGAGAGAACCCCAAAATTCAATTGTTATAACCGATTATCATTGTATGTGGACTAGACCCTGAACGTTTCTAGTAGAAAAACTCTAGAAACTGATCGTTATAAGCAGGACATTATTATATCTGGTACCGTATTAAGTGGATTGCACTATAGTGTATTCCACATCTACTGACTTTTCTTTTTTCTTCATTTTTAGGACACCCCAGGTTTCATTGTCAACAGGTTGCTGGTTCCAACCATGATGGAAGCTATTAGGATGCTTGAAAGAGGTACAAATCCTGCAAGGTTGTGGCTTCCGCCAGTATACAGAACTGGTTGTGGTCCTTGATTTGTCCCAATCTATGCTTGTTTTTGTTGCTATGTCCTTACCCTGAGGACCATGCAGTCACTTCAGTAGCTCCTTTCTTATGGATCTGAAGGTCAAGGAACAGCTTGATAAACTATGTTTTAGCTCTTCTGAAGGTTGCTTCGTTTCAGAGGGTGGTAGGGATTAGACACTGTCTCGGGAACTGCTAAAATACTGATACCAGTTTTAGGAAATAGAAGCTTTTGAATGTGTGTGACTTTTATTTTAAATGTCTGCAAAGTCATCTTGTTTTAAGAGCAGCCTATTGAAATGCTAACAGTACTTCCCCTTAGTGATTTAGCTTAGAGGTCAGAGAGTTGGGAATTTAAGAAGCACTCTCCCATAGTTTTTACAACTGCCCACTTATTTCATTCTGTTTGCCTCAGCTTTGGCAAGACAAAACTTAGTACTGGTGTTTTGCAAAATATGGGTTGTCGTAAGGTCGCAAAGGTCATGCCTTTATCTGGCCACTGAAACTCTGGCAGCACCATTTGGGCTTGCTTAAAGGGGTACTCCGGTGATTTTTTGCGCTACCCCAACTAACTATATTTCCAAAATCACCGTCCTTTACTCTTTCCGGTATGTGATTTAGTATCGCAAAATTCTAAATAGTTATTGTGAAATCGGCCAATGAAAATGACACCAAAACCAAGATTCAAATATACCCGCGCTTTTCAGTGCCGTGACGTCGCGGGAAGGCGAGCTTGCAGGTAGAGCGGGCAGTCTAAAAATGAACTATGCCGAGCATTTGTTTAGTACTGTTGCGCAGGAGCTGGAGCGATCTTCCAAAGCATTCATTTGACACCGTGAAACTGTTTATAGTCAGTTGGGAACAAATTGTACAGCCCAAAGATTGAGCCCCTGCCTTCCCCTGACATCACTTTTTCATTGTTGCCCGTAGAGCTTTCCACTTCGAAAAACACGAAGAGGACCGGAGTTGTAAATTCAATAACTTTGCGAAAAAACCTATTTTTGGCCAAATATTTGGGTTACTATTTCAGCGATGTTTGTTGATATGTTTAGCAAATTGTCATGCAAATCGGGGACTACAAAGAAAACGCCGGAGTACCCCTTTAAACGGAGAGTTTGAGCAACATGTTGACATACTAATCTGTTTCCTAGGCGACGCAACTGCTCGTGACATCGACACCAGCATGAAACTCGGTGCAGGACATCCCATGGGGCCCTTCGAGTTGGCAGATTACGTGGGCCTTGATGTCACCAAGTTTATTATCGATGGTAAGCAGTATAATTGGCATTGTCTGCGAAGGTTTTTGCTTTTATGCGATCCCCTCGGAGCTTTATGTGCCAATAGTTGGTGACAGATTAAGAGTGCAGGATAAGCTCTTCCCGCGAAGCCCTCCACTTGTTCCACTTTAATGGTGCGAATGCCAGAGAGGAGACTAGTCCCTCCTTGCCTCCACTCCAGAGTTTGCTCTACTAAAGTGGAAAGAGGGGAAGGCTCTGGGGAAGGGACTTATCCTGAATTCATCACCAGTCACCGACCATCGCCTCGCAAAAGGTGGTTCATACTGATTGTTTATGTCCTTTTTGCAGTTTGCATGTATCGTGTTCAAACTGTTCCTGCATAGACCTGCCTGTATTGCACTTGACCTAATAAATTATTGAATTTTTATTTATAAATTCTACATTCTTCAGTTAGGAGACGCAGTATGAGTGGGAAAGGAATGTGCAAACATACACAAAAGTTAATTGAATCACCCTTATAGTGATTCTTAATTCTCGGCCCATTTTTTATGCTGGAATGCTGACAGGCAGTTTATTTAATCAGTACCCTACAACTCATTCATATGACTCATAGAAAAAAAGAAAAAAAAAGTTGTTCAGGCCCCGAAGTTTTTTTGAGTTCCAATAAAGCTCCTCAAACCAGAAGAGGTCACATTTGAAGTGAAAATACTCAACTCAACTTTCCATTTAATTTCTTTTTTTTTTTTTTTTTTGGGGGGGGGGGGGGGGGGGAAGGGGGGAGGGAGGAGGGGGAGGGGGAGGGGGAGGGAGGGAGGGAGGGAGAGGGGGGAGGGGGGAGGGTTGTAAGTTGAGGGTAATTTGATCTTTTCCTGGGGAGGCCTCTTTAAATGTGAATTAGGAAGCCATCAATTGAACTTATATTTTGTTGTGCAGTAGTAAGGCTCTGATTACCTCTGCACTGTTCATTGTGTGTTGCTGTTTGTAGGATGGCACAAGCGCTTCCCAGACAATCCTCTTTTCAACACGTCTCCACTGCTGGACCGACTTGTTCAAGAGGGTAAACTGGGCGTCAAGACTGGCGAGGGGTTTTATAAGCACAGCAAAAAATAAGCAGAAGAATTAGCATGTGTTACATTATTGGTAAGAATACAGTTTTAGGCATGTACACCTTGTTACCTCAGATCACAGAAATATATTTTTGCAATGACTCCTGCCGTGAGACTTCTTTCTACCTTATTTTAATAGCCCCTTAATTTCTTTTTTTTTTTACAAACAATTATTTGACTTATATACTGTAAAATACTGAGCATTCGCCCATTCCACACTAAGTGCCTTCCCTAAATGTAGTAACATCTGTAAAAATATGTGCAGTACAAATATAGATAAAATTTGTGACCTAACAAGCACCCATCCCCCACTTTCTTGTGATTATCTTCAAATTTTGAGCTGGCGCTTGATCGGTACTTTACGGTCGTGCATTGTCAAGTGATGCCTTGGTGCCTCAAGCTGTCGGGAAAGTTACAGTGAGTTTTGCCATTGGTTTTATATAGTGTCTTTTTTTGCATTTTGCCCTTTGTGTCATCTAGGTTCATGCACACATTTTACATGTTTGCTTTGGCTACTAGCTAAATGTCTAGGAAAGGAAGTTTTCTGCAGAAATGATAAAAATTAAGGTGCCTTGTATCTACATTTGAGCAGTGTGTGTAATAATGGGAAGGTCCCACAAAGAAGGCTGATTGCTACCCGTCTGCAGCCAATAGAAGCTTGTGAGTTACCTATACTACTCGTCACCTCGAGAAAAAAGCAAGTTATGCGCGTTGTTCAATTGCTGTGCGAAGTAGTTCTTACAAATTTTGGCTGTCAGAAAAAGGATCAATGCCTTTGGCGTTCGAAACGTGAACGTCTTGATAAGATAACATATGTCTAATCTAAATGTACCTGCACATATCTTAATTCTCCACATAAAGAGGGAAATTAGTAATATTCCGTGAGGAGCCGAACTTTTTTTCACTATGGTTTTTAAGGTGAAAACGAGCATAGTAGAGATGCAGCAACAGCCGTTGTCCCTTTCCTGTTGGCGAAGAAATTGGCTGCATTCTTAATCAAGTGTGCGCTGTGATTTTTATCCTCCACCTATAGCTCTGCTGTATGATTGTCCAATATTTACGTATGGACGTCGGAACGAAGGAAAGTAGTAGCTGTTGCTCGTTGAGCTTTTTGGGAGTTGAAATCGCTTGGGAGGTGTGCTGTCGGTTACTAGTACGTTGCGAACAGTCGAGAGTCTTCATTAGGCTGCTCTTTGAATGCTGCTTATGAATTGGAAATTTGTTACCACTTATAGCTTGAGCTCTCTATTTGAATCTTTCTGCCATTTAATATGTCCTAAATTAAACTTTTTTTGTCTTGGGTTCTTTGCAAGCCTGTTGTGCTGGTTGATGTGCTAAAGAAATTTTTGGAGGAATTGAAGAGCAGCATTGTGGACAGCCTCAGGCAAGCTGCAAAAAGCTTATTTTTTAGTGGTGCAGGTTTTATGGCGTTTATTTCTATCTTTACTCCTCTTTCTCATGTTATCTATACATTATTTTATACCAAGCAGAACTTTGTCAAGGTGCTGCTCTCTAGAATTTTATTAAAAATAATTATTAGTACCGAGGAGGCTTTGGATAAATGACCTGGTGGTGGAGGCTGTTTTAAAGACTTGGAAATTTTGAGGAGACTGTTTGCTACTTTGGACAATGTTTCAGAAGAGCGAATTGAGGTTTTGCGCTTTTTAACCATTACGAATCACCAACTCGCCCAACACTCCACCCTCGTCAAATTTCAGCACATGTTTTTGAACGTACTTTCAGAGCTTTGTGTTTAGACCTCCAAATGCCATTAATATTTTATACATTAATTCAAAGTGGTGCGAGACCCTGCCATGATGGCTTTGGGTTCTAGCCACTGTGTACCGTCACTTTCGCAAAAGTCGCCACATCATAGTAAAAATAAAAAGGGCTGGGTATCTGCCCCATTGCCCTTCCACCAGCTCATGGGGCTTGGCTTCGGAAGTTCCAAAACTGCACCTGAGTGTTGACCATGTATGCACAGGTAAGCAACTGTCGACGACGCCACACCAGCTGAGAGGTTCAGAAATCTCCTTCTCGTAAAGCTTTAAGAGGAAGAGAAAACTAGATATTTATTTCGTTGTGATTTGTATGGTTTGTGTCTTGCCATAATTAGTAACAGCTATTTTAAGAATAATGAATTGAAATTAAATGTTTTGAGTCTTCATTCCCACCTTTCAGTGCCTTTGTACACTGTTAGACGAACGGAAAGGGGCACTAACAATCTCGGTAGTGATAGTGGTGCAGAATAATGAAAGGACAAATGAATACTCCACATCATACTTGGAACTCTGACACTCTATCGTAGAGTTGATAAAGTTGGTGAAACGGTTACAGAACATGACTGTGAAATGGTTGAGGTTAAATGAAGGCCACCCTCCTACAAGTTTAATTATGCCTCTCTCTTTAATGTTTCAATGGTTATTACCCATCCAAATTGATAAACGACATGGTCAAAGCTGCTTTCGAGAGAAAATAAAGAATATAGCAAGTCTCGGCTACAGTCTTAAAAACAAGGGAAGTTGAATGCTGGTCTTTCATGCAAAAATAAACATATTATCTGCAGTCCATCTCTTTCACTGTTTTACAGACTTTTTTTTTTTTTTTTTTATTGTGTTGTGTCATGTAGAGATGTAGGTTATTCCAGCAGGAGATGGTACTTGCAGTGTGCTATCCTGGTCCAAGGAAGTAAATATAAGCACGTAAGTATAGCACCACTAGATTGACTATGCTTGGAGTACCTGCTCTCCATTCTCCAGTTTTATTGTGAGCGAAACCATTTTGGTGCCTTGTACAGAGGAAGTATTCTTGGTGGACTGTTCCAACATTTCTGGAGGGCAGAAAAGCGTTTCCTGCAAATTCAAATAGAGCTATGGGTGACTGGCAACCATGTTTTGAGGCACCAAGATCACTGGAGTGTCGTTACTCTAATGCGTAGCTCTAGTGGCTCTAGTGCAGGGGTGGCCAGGCTGACCCAACCTAAGAGCCGCAAAAACAACCCACAAAACTTCCAAGAGCCGTGGAGTGGGGGGAGGGGGCAAACTTTTGTCGAGAGCAGTGGTTCTTAAATGGGGGTCTGCGAAGGCATTCTAGGGGTCCGCAAAGCCCCGCCTCATCAGTCAAGCTCGGCAATAAAAGTTGTCTTTTTCTCAAATTGAGAAGAAATGTTCCAATTCCTGGGAAGTTTCCTGGTGTGTACGTCAATGAGAGAAGTCTGCTTCACACTAACCCTTAGTTATATCCATTTATTAAATCGTAATCATAATTAACCTATACCTTTCCCTTTCCTCACCATGAATGGGGTCCTCCATCATCTCCGCCGATCCACAAGGGGTCTGCAAAACACTAATGGTTGAGAACCACTGGTCTAGAGCAATAAACGAAACTTGGAACTACTTGCAATCTATCCAAGTCAATTAAAAGCAGTCCAACTGTATGTAAGCTAGCAGTAGCACAAGACTACAAAACTGGGGTCCTTACGCATGAGCGAATGACATTTTAGTGAACAGCGACATTTGAGCTAATCAACGTTTTAGCGAATATTGGGGGTGCATGTTAAGCCTCCCCCCTGTGCTGCGCTTGTGCCGCTTCACGGCAGCAGTCTGCAGGAGCTTATTACAAGAATGTTAACCGATTTGGCCCACCCGTAAATGCTGCTTTGCGGCGGCCTACTATTTGCTAAAGTGTCATTCGGTGAAACATCGGCGTTCGCTAGTGGAAGGGAACCTTCAGGAGACCATCGGAAAGGGTAGAAAAGTTAGGAGACTGCTTCTTCGCCTAGTTCCTGGAGGAATCAAGATTAGAAAAATGGCGACTGCCATTCCAAGGCTACCGAGTTTAGCTTTTAAGTAAAAAGCAGGTTTTATTTGTGTTTTATTTGTGCACGTGTTGGGACTCTGACTCCAGTCTAGCTGAGGACTATCGGTCTTCCTGGCAGGCACGTGACACCTTGCCTTTTCAAAACGTCGCCACCTCGTTCTGCTTCACCTACCTAATTTTTCTTCTTTTTTTTTTCTTCGTCCTGAACGCTTTTGGCAGCCGGCGAAGTCGTTTCGAAGCATCGCGGCATTCCCTCTTGTGCATCTCACTTTTTAATGCGAAAGTATTAACCGTCTCATGGAGCGAGCTGACGTGATCAGTCTGAAGCATGAAAACGGCACCTAGTTTCCTTCGGTTCCATTGGCTGGCGCGCGTCGATGGGGCTCCTATTGGCCGCTGCGCTTGTCCATTTCCACGGCCGCTCACCTCATGGCACTGCTTGTCCATCAGCGTGCCCTTAACATGGAGCGTCCAAGGTCACCGTGCCCAGGGGAGCATACGCACCGACCGGCGACGAAAAGTATGCAGCAGAAGGAAGAGGGATCAGGCGAGTGGCTTTGCATGCCTTCACATTCACAACTCATTAAGAATGCTTAGGTGTACCTCGATCTTTCTTTTATGTTGTTTACTGCTCAGTTATATATAGGGTGGTTTAAGTCACCAGGTTCTATCTAAAATGGACCGTAAAAATCGACGCCTGCACGTAGCAATCTAAACTTTTCGTCAAAGGTGTAATTCACAGGTCGGTTTTTTCTTCTAAAATTACAAAACGTAGCTCTCTTTCTGTAAAAGTAAGGCCAAGAAACTTGCCAGGGTCTACGGCAGGCTGGCAACGCAGACGACGGGGGTCCAGTAGCGGGGTGTGTTTGGCGTTCGTAGTGATAGATGGCGCTACCCCCTTATTGTGACAGCTTGCGACCACCGTGGTTTATTAAAATGAATATAATCTTTTTGAAATGTACCTTCGGGTAAAAAATAAATGCGAACATAACGTAACGGCGGCGCTTTTGCTGCCAAGAGATTTTGTCTGCATGTCGTCTGCTATCTTTCGCTGGTCGGCTACACTACAGTGGCTTAAAGGGGGTAGTGTAATGAACGAAACCGGAGAAGCGGCACAGCGTTGGAAGACGGCCGCGGGTGGCGCTGGCGCTTGCAGCACCGTCGTTCCGGCTATGGCTCCGGCTAGGCCGCTGGGCCAGCTTGGCTCCGGCCAGCTCCGGCCGATTTGCAGCTGTCGATTGCACTGTCGTCTGCTAGTTTCACATTTTTATTTACCTACGAACACAAATCATGTTGTTGGAAGTTCACTGGAAACAAATAATTGTTTTTGAGGTATTTATATTAGCTATGAAGCGTGTTAGGGTGCTTCTATCTGCCGGCCGATACGGCACCCTAACGGTGCTACGGATCGAAGCGCCACCTACACCGTCTTCCAAGGAGCGGCCGTTCCCGATGCATGGTGGAGGCTATGTAGTAACTGCACTACCCCCTTTAAGCCACTGTAGCTGCACCTTCTGACGCTGCTCCCGACGCCATCTATCAATGTGAACGCCAAACACACCTCGCTACTGGACTTGGTCGTCTGGGTCGCCGCCCGTCATAGACCCTGGCAAGTTTCTTGGCCTTATTTTTTACTAAAAAAGAACTACGCTTTGTACAAGAAGAAACCGACCAGTGAAATACACCTTTGACGAAAAGTTCAGATGGCTACCTGCGGGCGTCGATTTTTATGGCCCATTTTAGATTGAGCCTGGTGATTCGAACCACGCTATATATATATTTTTAATGATTGCTTTATAATAAATGAGCTTATTAGATATACAGGGTGTTCCCGAAACAATTCACAGGGTTTTTTTGACTGCAAAAGTTAGCTATGCCAAACACTCATTCTCCGCCCCAAGGCAGCACTAGAGGTCCGAACCAGATGCCAAAGTTTCAGCGCAAACCAATGTTGGCGCAAACCGACGTTACTAGAACCCTCAGTTGGGAAACTCGCCCTTGCAATCTGGGCTGCTGGCATCCACCGAGACCGGGTTAAATACGATAACAGCGCCATCCTTTAGGGACGAATTTCATTTCATTTCATTTATTTGGCTCAGGAGAGTCGGGAGTACAGCAGAAAGGCCGAAGGCCCATACCAGTTGGTCTGCAATTGAATTGAAACATGAAAGTTGCTTTATATGGCTACTGCAAGATGGCCCAGCGAGATGGCGCCACCGGCCCTTCCGTGACTCGACGGAACCAGTAAGTGCAGCCGTGCAGTTCACGGAGTGGCCAGAGTGGCCGCTGCGGGAGAAATGGCAGTGTTGCGATCGCCATTAGCTAGGTACTGGGATAAGGATCGGAGCCACTCTTTCTGAGCAGTTATTCAGCTGAGTGGTTCTAGTAACGTTGGCGCAAACCAATGTTTTATCAAAAAGTTATAAATTATCTTCTGCAATAGTCAATCAGAAAATAGTGGCCGACAGAGACCGAAAACGGGCGAAAATGGGCCCCATTTTCCATTAAAATTTCAGAAAATCCCTAATAACTTTTGAATACACTATCGGTTCGTACCGAAACTTTGGCATCTGGTTCTGGTTCGGACCCCTAGCGGAAACATTTGGTGGAGAATGAGCGTTCGGCAATGCATAACTTCTGTTTGCGATATAAAAAATGTAAATTTTTTTTGGAACATCAAGCAAACCTAGACTAGACAAAATAGTCAGAAAGTTGATCATCATGCAAATTCCAAATCAAACGATACCGTTGCTGGCGCCCCCTTACCGCCTGCGCCTTGCCCGCGTCAAACTAAACTATCTCAAGCCTTGTATAGTGCGTAGGTCATATGAGCGTTGTTCGCAATCTTGCGTGTAAAGAATTTTCTTTCGCATTTGTTTAATTTGGAAGACGGTAAGTGATCTGCGGGGACATCTCCCCAATCAATTTTTCTACCTGCTTTCTGATCGTACAAGTCTCAGGTTGCCCAATTGCACGGTGTTAATCCTTCGACCCTGTGTCGCACGTCATGGTATTGACGTGACTTTGAAGGGTTGCGAATGCTTTGGACACTCGATCTTGGGATCGGTACGCTGTTCGGCGGTGTTCGAAGCCTTTGTACCTGCTCACTTCAACGTCGGGTGCTGTTGGCAGGCAGCGGTAACGCTGCTTGGGCACGCTTGAAACGCGGCCGCGGAAAGCTCGCTACGGGGGAGCAGCAGCCGTGATCAGCTCTGGATCCTTAGGTGCCAGAAATGAGTGGTGGCTCTCTTCGTCCAGGTAAACTGTCTGAAACGATGAGCTCATCCGAGGAGGTATCATGGATTTCCTGGTTCTGCGGTCTACGGGGCAACGAGTTCTACTGCGAGGTAAGAAAAATTGTCTAGCGTGCCAGGCAGTAGCTCTGCCGCTGCTTGCTTTTTTTTTTTTTTTTTTTTTTTTTTTTTTTTACTGCCAATTTTCTCGTACACTTTGCGACACTGTAAGCTCGAGCACGATATCGGTGGTTTTTGTATTTACATTTTACTAACACGGGGTATTAGCGAGCACTAAATTCGACAGCTTAAGCCGGTGCCCCAAACGAAACGAAGGCTTCCCACCGCACCAGTAGTCTTTTGAATTCAAAAAGAAAACGACGCACCTGCGATCGCTCGTTCGTTCTAGCTGTGCTGCGATCTGTGCGTGCGTTACTTAAAACGTGTATCCTTCACGTGCGAGCTAGAAACGGTAGAAAATTCCTGAAATTTTCTTATTTTTAATGTTTTTGTTTCAGGTGGACGAAGATTATATTCAGGACAAATTCAACTTGACGGGATTAAGTGAACAGGTACCTCACTATAGGCAAGCCTTGGACATGATTCTTGATTTAGAACCAGGTGAGTATCGGTTATGAACTACTTCCGAAGTCGGTTGAAGTGTGGTGCGGACCCCTGCAGTGCTTTCAGTACTATTGACCATTTACCTATAGTTTTGGAAAAAAAGGAAAAAAAAAAGGCTGTATATACAGCGCCGTCTGACGGCACTACACTTGCGCCTACAAGTGCTGTTTGAAAGAAAGTAGAACGGCGCGTGTATCACTGGGGAGCTCGTTAACACACCCCCCCCGCCTGCGTTCACGCCGCTTCGCGGCGACAGTATGCGGCTGCTAATTACAAAACTATTGACTCATTTGGCCCCCGTCGTACACGCCGCTTAGTGGCGTCCAGCCGGCAAACCAAGCCCTTATCCCCCATGCACCTCCTGAAGCGAAGTCCCATTCCATTTTGTTCGACGAATTTCGTCGACAACATGTTTTCTTTTCAGTGTTAGTCGTAAAAAAGAAGTGTAAACGTCGACAAAACAAACTGTTCGAGAAAAAAAAAAAAAAAAGTAAGCCCCCACTGGGGATTGAACCCGGGACTGCTTGCTTATGAAACACACATCTTGCCACTACGCTACACTACAGCGTCGAGAAATTCATATTGAGTACTCGTTTTATACGAGACTTTCGGACGGCACTTGAACGTGTGAGTGGAGTACCGTTGGACGGCACTTGAACGCTTTGTAAAAGTGCCGTCAGACGGTACTCTAGACACTACGAAAAAAAAAAAAAAGGTACACAAAAAACTGGCCAATGCAGTTTCATTATGTTAATGCTATTAAGTGCAAAGGTGCAAGCGAGCTGGACAAGAATGACGAAAATAATCCCTGGAGAAAGGGAACAAGTGGGACACTTAGCTGTGTTTGAAAATTTGTTTGTCTTTGCCCCCCTTGTTTTCCTTCTCCAGGGATTATTTTCGTAAGTTTTATCATAATTGGTGGCCAAGGATGTCGTAATGTCACATGGGGCACTGCACTTGTTTTGGATACATCCTTATCCCAAATATAGCTCTAAAAATTTTTTTTCTTCGTTGTAAAATTGTTTTATGACATCCTTGTTCCATCTTAACTGTTTAAAAAAACTGTTTTTCTTCCTTTGCATGTGTTTTTTGAGCAAGTTGGCTGAGGTGAGGTAGAGTCGTCAAGTGTCAGGTTGCCTGAGGCTCTATGGCCCGGGATCCAAAATATTCCTTTTAGTACTTCATCGTTAGAAGTTGGAACCACTTCCCGCATGATAAATCTTGTTTTGATAGAACTGAAACGTGGTCCGATCTGAAACTTTGGCGGCCAGCGGCTCTCATGCGGCGGTAGATCTGCTCGCACAATAGGGTAAACTCGAAATTGGTTGCCCTGTTCCTCTGCGCAACTGCACGTCCGTTGCTTATTCACGTCACGTGGTTCGCACATAGTATAATTACTATGTCGAGCACGTGTCGGTGGCGTGATAAGCACTGCTGGTTTGCATTTTGAGCAGCTAAAAGCCACTCAGAAAATATCAAGGACACTATCTTCAGAAACATATGGTACTTGCTTTTTGGTTCTCATTAAGGCTCAAAAAGTTTCAAGTTTTTGCATCTTTTACAATGTTATCCCATCTACCTAGACCCCTAACCACTCATGTTCATCTCTGCTGCTAAATGCAATTGAAATTGCTCCCGTGCTTGTCTAAGACACAAGCTGAAGTGCAATGAAAACTGATCTGAGCTGCTCCTAGCCTGCTCCAGAATGTAGTTTTAGCTGCTCCAAACCTGCTCCAAAATGCTGTTTCAGCTGCTCCCAAATACATTTCATGAGTTCCCCCCCTGGTGTATGTTTTTGACACTCTTTATAAGTAATGGGTTACCAACTTGCGAGAGTTTTTCTGCTGCTATTAGTGTCATTGCTTTCGGGTGAAGAACAGGCATCTATTTGGATGAATTACGTTTTCACAGCTGTTCCAAATGTGCACATAGCAAACTGTGAAGCTCATAGTCTGATGAAGCATTTTGTTTTGTCGGGTGCAGACGACGAACTGGACGACAACCCGAACCAGAGCGACTTGATTGAGCAGGCGGCTGAAATGCTCTACGGCCTTATCCACGCACGGTACATCCTCACCAACAGGGGCATTGCCCTCATGGTGGGTGTTCTCTTATTGTCTAAACTGATTGAGGAAACCTTGTTTACCGACTCGCAGAGCAAGGACAGGTTGGTGTGAAAAGTGGAACTACATTCCCTAGGTCAGTTTCTCAATAGAAAAAAACAAAAACAAACCAGCTGCAAGGTCACACCTTGTTGTGAGATCTCAAACCAAGTTACCAAGTGCGCAAGTGTTCTTCATAGAGCATGTGAGGGCTTCCTCAACCATATAAAGCCCATAATTATACTAGTCCTTTTCAACGTTATGCCCAATTTTAGTGTTGCTGTGGGTGATGTATTAGTGCAGCCTGTTACTTTTTCACTCGTAGACACTTTACCCTTTGTCGACGGAATATAGATGTACTCTGAGGTCTGTGCTGAATACCTGATGTGCCTTTTGCATATTTTTTTTTTCATTCAAGTAGCAGGAATGCACTTATTGTGATAGGAGCGCATGCTTGGTACTTTACTGTTTCATATTAAAAAAAAAAAAAAAAAAAAAAAGAAAACCCACCATGAGTAATATTTTTTTTTAGAACTTGAAAAACATGTTTGACAAGTGCAGTTCATAAGACATCTCAGGGTTGACTGACTATATGCACTTTGTGGCTTCCCAGAGCATTTTGTGCATCCTTGTGCTCCCCTCATTTTATTACGAATCTCAATGTGAGATTGGCAATGTAGCTGACATTGCCAATGTCAGCTGAATGTAGATGAATGCATCTAAGGAACCTCAGATGCGTACTGCATCAGGTCTTGTGCGATGGCATGGGGGGCTTTTTTTTTATAATGTTTTTCTGAGGCCCCCTGATTGAGAACCGCCGTTGTAAGTACATACTATACTCGAAATGTTATTTTATGTTGTTTTTTTTCTCTGTGGAAATGTTGGTTATACTCTTGTGAGCTGCTGTTCAATGATAGGCACTGTGCTTAACCATTTTATGGTCGCATTTTTTTTCCAAGGGCGCACCCCCGTGGTCGGGTTTTTTTACTCGATGTGATAGCAAAGAGAATTCACAAGTTTATTGTAGCATAAAAAAATGTAAGACTTAAAATAAATAGTAACACACACTTCAAAAGATCTGCGGCACGCTTGCTCGAAGTAGAACAAAACAAAAATGACTAAATATTTCGAATTGTCAACTTTCTAGTACTTCTTCAAAGTGTGGTAGTCCTTGAAGCAGGGTTCCACACACAGGCCCTTGTCACAGGCGGTGCACATGAACCTTGTGTCCTTTCTTTGCTTCGGTCTGAGAGCTGTGTTGGCACACACGTGGCACCTTCGTTGGGTGCGGCTGCCTTTCGCCGATGTTTGTGGCACCCTCTCGGGGAAGTGTCAAGCTGTCAGCCTCGTTGGGTTGTCTCCGCTGGGCCTTCCACTCTTCTGCCTCTCGGTATGATGCTCTTCAACGAGCTGGTATACGACTCTTCTTCTGAACTCGGTGAACGTGATCTTGGAGGCACTCCTTTCACGGTGAAGAAGGAATGCATTCAACAAAGACATGCCCAGAAGGTGAAAAAAAAACTTCTTGTACCACTTCAGCGTCTTCCTGATGCTTTCAGTGAAGCTCAGCTGCATGTCTACTTCGTCCACAAGTCCCATCTTCTGGTTGTACTCGAGTACGCATGCTGGCTTTTTCTGTGGAGTGCCTGTTCTTCTGTCCACCTTGCCAGTGTCCTCAAGATGAGCTCCATGCATTGAGGTCAACATATGCACCTCCCTTTTGTCACACCACTTCAGTGCCAGAAGTGTATCGGTGTGAAATGACTCTACTTCTCCCCTTCTTATCTTTTTTTTTTGAACTTGGGAAGTCCCTTTCTGTTCTGTCGAACTGTTCCGCAAGCATTGGTTTGCTTCCCTTGAAGATATTGGAAAAGTGCCGGGCTGGTATACCAGTTGTCTACGAAAAGAGAATGCCCCTTTCCGAGATAGTGGTTGAGCAACTCGAGGACGATTGAGCCCGAAAATCCCAACTCCTTCATCATCGTCATTGTCGTGGAAGCTCCGGTATTCACGATGGACCTCAAGATGTAACCGGTCATCACGTCGCACAGAACAAACATCTTCACTCCAAAACGGTGCCTTTTTGAAGGGAGGTACTGGCGAAATGAAAGACATCCTCTCCAGGGCATCATCAACTCACCGATACAGAGATCTTGGTACGGGACCAGGAGGTTCGCAAACTTTGCCTGAAGTGTCTCCATGAGTGCCCTGATTTTTCTTAGTCGATCTGCTGCTTCAGTGCCGGCACTGAAATGAAGCACTCTCAGCAAAATGTAGAAGCGATTTACTGAGAAAAGCCTTGAAAGAAAAGGGGTCTCAGTCATTGGGTCGGTGGTCCAGTAATCCCTCACAGCATTTTTTTGGACGAGCCCCATCAGCAGAACAGCTGCCAGAAAGCAGTAGATCTCAGCGAGACCAACGTCTACCCATGCTTTCAGTCGCGATTTCCGTGCGAGGTCGGGCTGTGCGATCAGCTGGTGCGCGTAGTCGTTCGTCTTGTCTGCAATCAAAGACACAACTCCCGTGTCGAAGTAGAGTTTGAAATAATCTGCCTCTTTCGCATTTGGCTGGAGTAGACTGCAGGCTGTCCGGAATGCGACGCCTCAAATGGAAATATAGATGGGGAGAAGTCTTCCCCTTTTTTCCAGTCGGTTTCGTTTTGACGCGCCCGCTTCCGAGACGGTCCAGCAGACGGTGCGGCTGTGTCCGATTCTGAATCTGAGCTGGTTTGCAGTTTTTCGTCGGATGTCGAGCTGTCGTCCGACTTAGAGTCCGAGAAGGGTTCAAAATCTGAATCTGAAGAGCCACCGCTCCAATCTCCGCTACCTCCGGAGCAGCTGGCACGCGCAGCCATCTGAAAGTTATCGCGTGCACAGAGCGTCCAGTTTCGCAATTTCAAAAGCCCCTCCAAAACAAACACGACGGGAGATATGCGGTCGTAGTTCCCTATGACCCTATGAGATGGCAGCACGTCCCCGCGAGCGCGCCCGTTCATGCAGAGGTAGGAATTTTCGAATGAGCAGACGCGGACGCAGCAACCATGCATGACGCATCCGCGCTGACGTACGGGTACTTCAGTGACCATGAAAGGGTTAAAGGTTGATCTACATGATTTTTTATAGGAAGGCTGGAGATTTTTTTTATTTGTAAGTTCACGAGAACGGACGGCCTCCCGTTTTATATCAACATTGTTAGACAAGATAATCTGTGATAGGCAGTAAAGAAATGTTGGGGGTCCTGCAAGGAGAACCATTGAATATACTCATTCACTGGGAGTGTCAGGAAAGGGAGGACTCCTTTTCAACTGCACCTAGGTATTGAGAAAACGGGGATGTCCACTTTCATCAACTCTCAAGGCAGTTGTTTTAGCATTTCTGCACCTAAAACTGACTTGCATGTTGTTGCAAGCACGCCATAGCTTGCAGAACATGCTAGTGTCACTGTTTTGATTGTCTGCTGAGGTTTGTGCTTGCATTGAACTGAGATGTGGTTTTTTTTTTGTCTTCAGATCGAGAAATACCAGAACGGAGACTTCGGCTACTGCCCCCGCGTGTACTGCGAAAGTCAACAGATGCTCCCTATAGGTGAGATTGAAAGCGCTCTGCATGCTTTTACCCAGTGTGTGTTTTGTTTTTATCATTTCTTTTTCAGTACTCTGCGTCATTCTTACCATTAATATGGAAAACTACTAGAAAATACATTTCGAGTGGAGCTTTTGCGTCAGTTTGAACATTTTCAAGTTAACATATTTTCTGAAAAACCACAAAAAACTAAGCCTAAAACAAAAAACAGATTTTTGAAAAAAAAAAAAAAAAATGATTTAACTGAAATTAAAACTAGCCTGCAACTTTACTGGTCCACCATGTCGTCGTGACATTAGATGTATAAAGATCAGCACATGTGCAACTTGAGGCTGTGATGCCCAGTGTCGGAAGCAGTCGGAAGGCCGTCGCGATCGTTCTTGAGAAATAATTGACTACGATTCCCCAAGCTCCTATAAGTCAAGCGATCACCAGAAATGTTTTCATATTCTCGGCACGAGATTTCAGACGATTCGCTGTTCACATTCAATCCGCCGGCATCGCCTCCCAGGGGACCTTTCTTGGGGAGCTGCATTTGCGAGCCGTCGTCGTGGGGACCCACATGCCGCTTCGAATCAGGGTGGCAAGGAAGGTTTTATTTGGCTAGCAAGCTGTGGACTGTTTTCTAGTGCGGCACAAACGCTAGGCCCTCGTGTCGAACTGCTCGAAGCCACTTCCTTTGCAGAGACTTCTTGGTCGGAAACCAATAAGATCTCACTCTGCTGCATTTCTTTGTGGTGTTATTGCACCCCACAGCCAATCACCAATTCTCCCCATCCTCCATCACATGCTGCGAACAGCTGAAAGGATAACTGCAAAGAAAAAAAATATTTTTTTAAACAGCCTAATTTGGACTAGCATGTCAAAAAACAATTTTTCCACAAGAAAAAAAAAATTTACAGTAATATTTATTGCGTGAGACTGATTTTAGTTTGTGGCTATTTCGTCAGTTTTAAATCGCGCGCCACAAAGTTCGGGTTCCGCGACGTTTAACACCGATTGGCTGCTATACTTCTCATTGGCTAAGAGATTGATTGACAGCTTAGACCTTGGTTGTTAAACCTTTGTTATATGTAGCAAGTTCCTTTTGAGCGGCATATTTTTACGTTTAAAGAATAACCCATGTGATGGGAGTTATTATCCTTTACAAAAGGTTTACAAGACAGGCACTTCCGTTTCAATTCATTCCATAACAAACAAAAGCTTCGCCATTCTTTCATGGCCGCCGAAGCCGATGTCTCTGCTCCCGCCTGTCTCGCCTACCTCGACTAGTCGTTTCGCCGAAGTGATCGGTGTTTCGTGCTGACCCAGGTGCTTGAGTGAGACTTCTTGAAGTGATGTAGTGTGTGTTCAGCAGCTGTCGCAGGTGTTAGTGATAGGAAGCGACGCGGGGTTTTTTGTTTGTTTGTTTATTTGCGCGTGCAAATAATGCCTACTTTTCGGAGATGTCAGATGAGTGATCCCGACAGCGAGCCTCCCAGCAGCCATGTCGCCCTGAAAGGAATGCTACTTGGCTGGAAGCAATCGGGTGTTGGCGTATCGTCAAACGTGTCCAGTTACGTTCTTGTCATATCACTCTGGAGGCCGTCGAGATTCGCACCGGGTACCCCGAACGTCCGCGACTAGACACAGCTGTTATGTAAAAAACCTGGCACAGCCAGGTTATTACGTAATGGCTGTCCGCGGAAGCTTTCGGACGTCCAAATTCTGCGTTAGCCGACAGATTTTTTTTCTCGGCTTCCAAACCATCTTACTTAAAGTTGTTTGAATGAATGTGTACTGTTATCGTAAATCCTGGCTTGTGATTACGCCTTTGTAGAAATAATTCTTTTTGCTGGAGAGACGCAAATGACGGGCATAAGAAAATCGGTTGCGTATTCCGCGTACCTTGCAAAAGCACTTCCCCAGTCACCTTGCGAAAAGCGCGAAACACGGAGTCCGCACCGTCCCGGCTTCCCAGTCTTTTTTTCTGCTTAAGAGCAGTTTCTACCTGCTGGCTGCTAGCAGGTGTGTCTACTGAAACTGCAACTTGAAACTAGGGGCAGTGCCAGAGAGCAAAGACAAAGTTTGGAAAGCTTGCTCGCCCTCCCCAATTTCTGAACTCTCAAGTAATTGTACCGTAATAAATGCACAATGCCCCCCCCCCCCCCCCCCCCCCCCACAAAAAAAAAACAAAAAACAAAACAACTATGTTTACTACGTAAAAAATGGTCTCAGTTCATGCATCTGTTCTGTGGGCAGGTAGGAAGTCTTGCCCAAATTTATTCACACTGCACGATGAGCGCAACACGTCGCTGTGCAAACAGTCCAACATGAAGCATAAAAACGGCAGATTTATGATAACAATTCAGAGTCCATTGTTCAATTAAAGTCGTTGGGCACCTAAACAAGAGAACTTCCTCTGATTCCGCGACTCGCTGATCATCCTCAGTGCTACATATGTCGAGCGCTGCCATGTTTTCCGAAGGAGGACTCTGATTTTCGGTATTTCAGAAAGAAGGGCTGTAGTGCGTTTGCAATTGTGTTTAAAAAACGTGTTTTACGAATGCCAATATTAAATATTATAGAAAGGTCGCTTACAAGGCCTCTAAATTTCATAATTTTTGACGTCACAAATAGCAAGAAGCGAGGAGGTGAAAAGCGGGAGAGAAGAGTGCAAAAAAATAAAAAAGTGTGTGTGCACGTGAATGTTTTTTTTAGCGTCATATCTTTTTTTGTGTTTATAACTACAATTTGCATTGTTTAAAAACAAACGACTTTTGGGGTGTCAGTGTTTCTTTTCCTAGCGCCTGAATTCTCATAGTATTTTATTTTCCATCGTTTTTCTATCTTAATGCAGAATTGCATTCTAGCAAGGTAACTCGGATTTGCGTGGCACGTCATGTGATGCCAGGTCACATGACTCATGGGGAAAGGTCGTGGTTTGCGACTTCGCAGCGTCACGTGATGCAGTGCCATGTGACGTGACTAAACTGCTGCATCATGAGATAGATCAGAGTGTGCCAATAAGAAACGTGATGAAAACCCACCATTGTTTATGACGATAAATCGATAAGTGAAAATACAGCTGCCATTTTCCTTCTTTTCGTTTCTCATCTTTTTTTTTTTTTGAACCAGGAAGGGCCTGCATTGTGTAATGGGTATTGTTAAAACCCTCGTTACTAAATGAAAGATCTATCAATGTCCATTTTTGTCCGGTTAATTGTGGGTTATTTTTTAAGTTTTCCACTACCCTCTCCAACACACACCTTGGCTGCATTCCAAATCTTACCCAAATAGATCCGAGTTACTCCGGTAGGTCGTGTTACGTAATAACACAGATAAAGCGATGCTGGATGCGTGTAGGTTTTCGAACGCAAAAATACAAAACCCTTGCTCTGGGGTGGATTGAGTTAATTTTGGAGCATGGCCCTTGCTTCCTATAACCTATAGCCGAAATATTCAGGAATGCATATCACACCATATATAGGGTGCTCTTAACAGTACTATTGACCATTTCACACTACGATCTAGTTTAGTGCTCGCACATACTGGAAGCCTGGCGATAAAACGTTGAAGCTACAGTGTTTTCCTAATAGTCTCCTTAGTGGTGTGTCCTTATTTTAGCTCACAAGGGAAGGGCAGACCCCAAACACTGTAATTATTAAACCTTTTGTGGTAGAGTATTTTTTTTAGTAGTTGTGGCTTTGTTTCTAAAGTGATAGTACAAAAAAACAACTCAATGCACAGGGTTTAAATTAATTATCTACAGAGAGCACCTACAGTGCTTACAAGCTCTCCAGATTAAGAATCATTGAATGAAAATATTGAGGACAAAATGTAGTCTCCTTTTTTCCATTTGGTTTCACTTTGGCACGTCCACTTCGAGAAAAATCTGGTGGTCTTAGCCTCTGGACTGGAGGTATTTTATGGAGCTTTTCCATACAATAATGAGTTCTCTTTCTCTTTATCAATTCCAAGAGGCGTTGGAAGTCTGCATCGAAAGAGCCCACACTCGCTTGCTTCGTGGTCACTAGTACTAGGGCAGCCAACACAGAAAGTGACCATGATGAGTGCAGGTCATGGGCATAGAGTGTCTAATTTTTGAACTAAAATAGCCCTAGCAAGGTGAAACACTGTGTAAATAATCAGTTATAGTTTCTCAAACAAACAGCAACACCTCTCAGGATGTGCGTTTTTGCGTTTAGGTCGAAAATTTTAAGAATGCGTAATCGCTGTTATACATGTACTGCAGCAGCCCTCTAAAATGCAACATGATTTGCAGAGAAGGAAAGCTTGCCGAAAGACCAAGGCCCCTGCTACATAAAGTTTGGCAGTTGCTAGGGTATAGCTATAGATTAACTTTGTAAATTTCTTGTACTTTTTGGCTGCTAAGTATAATGTTCTGTGGACTTTTGCACAATTATTACTCCTAACCTACAAAATGTAAAGAGCAGTTTTGTGAACAAATTCAATATCTCTCGGGAGACATTATATTGTAGTTTTTCCTGGATAGAAAAGAACTGTTGTGCTCTGGTCAGAGGAATAATGAATGGGAAGCTGGTAACAGGTTTTAATTTTGTGACCATCTGCACAAATCATTAATCTTGCCATCGCATATTCTTTCATTGATCACAGTGCAGTAGTTAACCTGTCCTTTCTCCCAAAATACAACATCTCTTAATTCCTTTTTTCCGGCGACATTTGTAGACTGGCATGCTCTGCCCGAAGCCATTGTTTCCTACCGAGACATTTACTCCTTCCGTGACATGTTAACCTTATTATTTCATTAATTGAATCTCGTGTAACACTTTGAGTACCAGAGTTCTTAAGATACTTTGATAAGTAAAAAGATGATCCTGCTTTTGCTTGTTCCAGGAAAAAAAAAGGCTTCTCATTGCTTACCCATTCTCTGGCTGGCATCTCCAGTGATGTGATTGCTGCGCCAATTGCGCCAAACTGCGCCAATGGGCTAACCCTGCTACATCCTGCTACATTTCACCGAAATATGCCTAATCTGCGCCAAGCCTGCGCCAAAGGACCAATTTTGGTCGCCTTTCAAAAACGAAACTAAGAACCGTAATTGAGCATGCATGAGCTAGGTGGCACAAGACGCCGCCCGACACAAAGTATCCTCCATCAATCGTCTATTCGGTCTTGCTTGATTTTTCCCGTCGTCTTGCGTTACGCGCTCTCGTCGTCTCGGAAATCTCGTCTCGCGCCTTTTTCTTTTTTTTTTTTTTAGCGATAGACGTGACGTGTGCGGACGCTCCGACGTTAGTGTGCCGGGTTCCAGCCGTGCCGTCATGCTGTGAAACAAAACCACGTTTTTGCGTGGCGAGAGTTACTTTGTGAGCTGAAGCGCTCGCGCGACCACAGTCGCCGTGGTCGCGCGACGTCGTGTGTTGCCGTCCCCACGTCGCTGCAGATATGGCGCTTTCTAAACTGAAACGCATCGACATTACTGCTCTTGTTTAAATGCACTGATCTCTATGTCTAGATCAGTGTTTAAATGATACGCTGTTATAAAAATCCCTCTTTAACTCAATTAATGCTTGGTGAAGTTTTAATTGCCTAGGTTTCTCTCGGTGGGTTTTCTTTCGAGAGGGACCCCGTTACGTGAAAAATCTGCCGCGAAAGAAAGTAGATGACGAGAAGCGAGCTAAAGCAACGAAGGCAATGTCTGCACGCTGAACCCGCACAGCGCGCTTGTTTGTCTCGAGTTCAGTCGTTGCACAAAGCGCTCCAAGAACTTTTTGACCTTGATTGGTAATGTCTTGCATCGATACTCTCAGGTTCTTTTTTCCTGTGTGTTTAGCCTGTACCTCGCCTGTCGGCCTGGCAAGCACGCGTAGCTGGTCATTTTATTGTCGTATGCTGGACAGTTACATTTTGCATACTATTTTGGGAACTGGTTGGTGGCATGGTTTCGGTTTCGGTCGAACAGCCGTTGTCTCCGCTCGCGCAGCGAATCACGTGCAACTGCAAGCCTGCCGAAGTTGCCCTCACGTGCATGTGAACATGATTGCACGAGAGGCACCAACCGGGACGCTTGCAATTCATTGTTTTAGGTTTGCTTACTTTTTATAAAAATCTGCCACGTCGAGAACCAGTAAAACGATAGCAAGTCTTTTTTTTTTTTTCGGAATTTTTCGGCAACGCTTACAGCTTTGTATACTTGTGGGATGTCTCAGCACCACAAACACAAGCAGCGAGTTCCGCCCCAACACATCACAACACAACACAAAGTGGCCTAATTTTTCTAAGAATATATGCTCCAAACGTCACTTTTTCTGCTCCGAAACACTGTTTTGGCTGCTCCAAAGTCCACATTTGCTGCTCCAAAACACTGTTTTGGCTGCTCCAAAAGGTGCTCCAAAATGGCTTAGGCCAATCACATCACTGCATCTCCCACCGCAGGTCTGTCAGATGTTCCTGGAGAGGCAATGGTGAAGTCATACTGCCCCAAGTGCATGGACGTATACCTGCCCAAGTCGTCGCGGCACCATCACACGGACGGAGCTTACTTTGGCACCGGCTTCCCCCACATGCTGTTTATGGTGCACCCCGAGTACAGGCCCAAGAGGCCCACCAGCCAGTTTGTGCCCAGGTAGGGCCTTCCCCCAGGACCTTTTCCGCATACCTTTTCGACGAACGGTCCTTTCGAATCCCTCGGGGTTGCACGTGGGTGCACATGGCTGCCGACACTAGGCTTGGGATGCAATTTCTCCCATCCTTGCTCCTGGGCAGTGCCTCCAAGCAAGCCCCAAAGCAAGGATGCCATTCAAAAGTGGCGACTACTTGACCCACTCCTTTTTGGTTTCTCGTTCCTATTCTAGTTTTCCGTTCAAGACAGATTTTTTTTTTTTTTGTCTTGCAGGTTACATGTTGTTGCTATCCAGAGTTATTTAATACTCTTTAGCTAGGTGTCAACTGCAGAGTGACCCATCCACCGTCGTTGTGCTCTCTTCCTTTGCAGGCTGTACGGTTTCAAGATCCACCCCCTGGCCTACCAGTTGCAACAGCAGGTTGCCGCCAACTTCAAGGCCCCCATACGGGGCCTCGGCAACTATGGCAACGGCAAGCGCTAAGGGCAGGGGCTCAGCAGGAGCCTGCATCTCTCGTCGGCATCCCTGTCACGAGATCCCCCTCACTGAAATCTCTCTCCTCTTCTAACCCCTTTCCCTCCGTTTCACCTCTTTCCCCTGCCCTCCCCCTCTTTTTCCTCTCACGTCATCCCGCCACCGAATGTTTTCATCATTGTCAGTTGACACCGGTATAACTCTGTGTCTTTCAAACTGTCAACCGTCAGGTTCTGTAAAAACCCCGTAATGGCAACTCGATTTGAGAACATTCGGATCGGCTCGGAGTCGGCCCGCTCTGCTGCACGGGCATTCTTCGAGGAGTCCCTCAGTCATTTACTATTCTTACGGTGACTAGCTTAGCTTTCTAAAGGTGTCGATGAGTTGAGCGTTTTTTGGTCCTGCCTGGGAACTTGGCTACTCCCGTTAAGGAGGAGGTCGTCGAAATGAATTTTGTGGCTCTGCATTATAATTTCAATCCATTTCCCGTTTTTTTCCCTTGGCAGTTCGAGGTTCCACCACATCTTCATCTTGCTTCTGTCAGTTTTGTTTTTCTGTTCATCTGAGTGTCTTACTGGTACTTGTGCTTTCGTCGGTGCAATGACCCTGGTGTTTGAAGTTGTGTGGTTCTTGATATTTGCATATGATGCGCTAATAAAGCTAGTTGTTGGAATTTCTGTGATGTAGTTATTTTGTCTGTGTTAAGACTGCACTTTTGGGTAGTTTTCTGCTGTCTACCTTTGCTTTTTTTATGCCTTTTGTCACAGTTTAACTGTAGAACTGCCCTTTCTGAGTGGAAATGAACCGCTTTTGTGTGACTCGTGGAAGTTGGACTATATCTTCAAATGTTTCTCTTTTGCTTAATGAGGAGAATACGGTAAAAATTCCAAGGTTGAGTTGTGATGCTTCTTTATTTTAGTTGGTGTTTGCAAAATTAACCATGTTTCTATCAGTAAATGTTAAGTTTTCCAGTGGCAGCAAACAAAGCTGAACCGTGACGAGCTACAGTTCAAAATAAATGTGAAATCTCTAATGACAAAGCTTTGACTTATTTCTTGCACAACAGTTCTCTGGACTTGATTTTTCCAATTGTGTGCCGAGGAACTGAGGGCTACGAGGAGCCGAGAGAGCGGGGGAATGTCGGAACGCCGAGCTCTGGTTTGTATGATTAGTGTGGGCAGCCGTTGTCTACTGCCCTCGTAGAACGCGTTCGAATGCGAAAAAAGGCCAAGCACTGGACGCCGGTGTTCGCGTTGCAACAGGTTTCACGAGCTTAGGATAAAGGCAACTAGCTTTAGGTATACCTAGGGAGCCTTCATATGCGCTTTGCTAGGGTGGTGCCACCCTTTGTAATTACTACTCGCCGACAAACCATCAGCCATTTTGGTCTCGGCGATAATCCGTGGGGCTTATAACCCTCCCGGAAACAAGCACCTTATCTCACAAGTTCGGAGCAGCGTTGTGGAACCCACGGTGGGAGGATTAGCATTTTTCCCCTCGGGCGGGGGGACCGATGGACACAAAGGTCACTTTCTGGCGCAAGGGAAACGCACGGAGAAACAATGAGGAACAAAATGGCGGCGGGAGAAAGGGAAACAGGCAGTTGGCATCACTATGCGAAGCGCACATGAAGGCACCCTAGGTATACCCACTAATCATTCCAATCGGAGCTCGTCGTTCTGATGGTTCTGAACTCCGACCACGTTGTGACGTGCCCGCGGGCCCGCGCGCTCTCGTCTCCTCTCCCTCGGTTGCACAGCGCATACTTTTAAAGAACGTGAACACAGTGTGGCGACTTATATTAGTCACGAAAGAGCAGATGCTTCTTTCCTCCTTTTTGATTTGTCGGGATACACATTTTTACTCGGTCAACTCTATTGGTTTACTTCGTCCCGTACCAGAGGAGACTGTCAGATATTAAAAGGTTAAAGCTTTTTTGACAATGCAAGGATGCTTCAGGTGGTTCGAGCAAGTTCGTGAGAACCTGACAAGTGTTCCTTGGTTCTCGTACCTGAAGTAAACAAACTCCACAGAACTAAAAAAAGAAAAAAAAAGGAAAACACTTTGCGCAGTTTGGCCTGGTTTGGCCGCCGACAAATTGCATGTTTTTTTTTTGCTTGACTTGGTCGATGTGCTGAAAAAGGAACCGAAACTAACAAAACATGTATTAATGAAAAGTGGCGAAAGAGGACCAGAAAATATCATTTAAAACTAATAATGCTCAAGTCTAAATTTAATTATAAGTCATTTATTACTAACAAACTTAACGTAACAGTTGTGTCACCGCAGCTCACTTCACTTGTTGAAGCCACCGACGCCACTTTTAGCCAGCACTGCCTACAATCGACAATCTCTGCCGCCAACACTGTACTTTTGTCACGTGTCCCTGCGCTTACCTGTTTCGTTCTTGATTTGATTGCTCCGGCTCCAGGTGTACCGCGAGTTGTGGCTGCGCTTCCGTAACATTTTTTTGAGCGCGTAAACTTAAGCTGAAATTCACGTAGCGCTACAAGTGACTTTTTTGTGCCCTGCCCTCGGTTTCGGGCGCTTCTTCGCCGTTCCTATCAGTCCCGCTAGCTAAGCTTAATTGAAGATGAAGTCGCCGTTGGTTCGATTGATCATCTTCCACAGTTGTTCTCTACTGCTAGCGACTCGCGCGTGGGCATCGGACGACGAGAAACTGGAATTACCGACGGTGTTCATCGCTGTCATTGCAAGAAACAAGGCACACGTGCTTCCGCACTTCTTCGGGTACTTGGAGCAACAAAACTATCCGAAATCTAGGATCAGTTTGTGGTAAGTTGTCGGGTAGCAGTACGATATAGCAGCTTGCTTTCGTTGATCAAAGCTGATGTCGTTTTTCTCTTTGTAATATAATTCCCTAGTTATTTCTACAGCGGCACACTGCTCTCGTTGGGTTACACGTGTTCACGTGGTCTGCGAAATACATGAACCAAACGAGTCCCGAGGCGGAGTCCGCTATCACAGTAAAATTATCAACACGTCCCAGCATCACTATGAATAGAAACTTCAATTTAGAAGAGACGAATAAAATGGGCTTTGTTCGTGAATTTGACTTGTTGGTTTTGTCACCGGTAATAATGAAAGTTTTCAGTACTCATAATGACAAATAAAAAATAACTATTTCTGCAAGCCGTGGCCACCGAAAAAATAAATAAAAAAATTGTCATATTTTTCAAGTGAAATTAGTCTTAATTTTATGCCGAAAACATGAGAATTACAAAACGATACGCGGTAACTTATTCACACTAATCAAGGCTAAGAAATGGACAGACGAAAATGCAAAACAGGACTGAAACCACTATGAAGTCCAAGAAATATAGGGTGTTTGAAATGCCGAGGCTCCATCTAAAATGGACCGTAAAAATCGGCCCCTGCACGTGGCAACCTAAGCTTTTTTGTCAAAGGTGTATTTCACAGATGGGTCTTATTTCGTAAAATTACAAGGCGTAGCTCCCTTCCTGTAAAAAAATGGGGCCAAAAAGCTTGCCAGTGTCGACGGCAGATGGTGACGCAGACGACCGAGTCGAGTGGCGGGGCGCGGTTGACGCAAGTATTGATAGATGGTGAAATGTGTCGTACCGTCCTAGTTATTTATGTAATGCTCCTCGAACACCGTAATTTCATCAGCACGCTCCATGACCACGACTTTATTCTAGTTTCTGAGAACAAGATGATTGACAGTTGGCAGGAAAGCAATGCCTGGGGCACTCATTAGTCCGTGGATATCAATGCACAAAAAAACCACAATCAAATAATCCAGAGTTGGCTCACCCAAAGCAAAACGATCGGTGTGTCTTTTCTGACAGTCTGAAAGTAGTAAGTCAGCATGCTAACTCACAAGGATTATATCTCTTGTGTTCATGTGCCTCAGATTTGGCAATGTATTTCTTTTAGATTGTCTTAAATATGACCGGTTTATTTAATTTCAAGCAAGCCGGCTGCACTCTTTCCTGCTCGTTAGTGTGGCTCTTTTTAACTGGCGAAGGATGAAAGCTGCACACAAAACAACTATGATGCAGTGAGACACATAATAAGCTGTTCACATATTTTCTGGACTATAGTCCACAGTCTATACATATTTAAAAGTTAAAATTTTGTGCATGCACAGGTGTGGACAGATTATATGTGAATTTTTTCTTTCTAGATTGTTCATTATGACGAGACATGACAAATTTTGTGAATCATGGAGCATGTTAATGGCAATTTATGTATGATAAAAGATTGTTTGTGAGCTAATAAAGGAGTACTTGTCAGGGGATGCTGTTTTTGAGAATGCTTTATGTGCTGACTAGGTGCCAAATGCAAAATCTAAGGAAAAATCTTTTTTTTCTTAACCTAAAATTTGTTCTCGCGGACTGCACACCGGGGTTGGACTATAGTTTAAAAAACATCGTATGGTGCACTTTCGTTTAATTTTATGCTCGTGAATCAAAGTCTGCCTTTACCCTTGTTCACCGTGCTTCAAATTGCACTTCACACCTTTTGCTCAGGATATACACGGATCACAACAGCGACGACACCGAGGACATCCTGGAAGCCTGGGCGGAGGCAAAGTCTGACGATTACCACAATGTGAACCTGACAAGAGAGGAAAGTGACGCCTTCTATGCCGATGAAAATGGTGTGCAGAAGTGGACGGCTGAACGCTACTGGCATGTGATCCGGTTGCGTGAAGAGGCCCTCAACCTAGCACGCTCCCTCTGGGCCGATTTTATCCTGGTGAGCTGGGCGACGACGTATTGGTGACGGTATATTGCTTGTCAGCTTGGCAGAGCATTGACAGCCTGCATTTCTTTCCTTTTACTCCAGTTTCTAGATTGTGATGCTCTTCTCACCAGTCCAAAGACCATACTGGACCTCGTCAAAGCCAACAAGTGAGTTGTTTAATCCACGAGTTGGATGGCTGTGCCAGTTGGTTTCACGTATGTAAAAGCGAATGGTGCAAAAGGACGCAGAGAGGCAGAAGGCTGACACTGAACAAAATGCTGTGTTGCATTCCTGCTTGTGTGCATCTTTTTTCGCGCTGTTTGTTTTAAAAGGGAAATGAAACAATTTTTAATCTTGACTCAGTAAGGCTCAGAATAAAATGTCGCTACGCAGTGAATACGGAACTGAGGCTAGTTGTTTGTTTCACAAATATGCCATAGTTGTTGGTAAAAAAAGAAATAAAAAAAATTGAGTTGTGTTTTCTCTTTCAACCCAGCTGGTAAGAGGAAGGTCACACATGTGTTTAGTGAAGTGGGCTCTGGGCTGTTGCGGTTTACGGCACGAGGACAACAGACATACCACGTGGCTAAACGTTTACTGAGTCCTTCCCTATTCCAGAACCTTCTGGAAATGCTCCACCACATGCTATGTTCGTCACATCACCTAGGCATATGTTTCATGGCCACTATGTAGCTTGTTTCCGGACACTGGTTAAGCTGCCTAATTATATTTAGGCACGTGCACTCTGCTAGAGTCATTCTTACCCCCTGTTTTATTTGATACCCAATTAGACCGCCTTGAGTTGCATCACGTTTCTCACCGCAATGCTAGAGCTTTGCAGAACATAGTTTTCCAGTTTGTGCTTCGAACTGATGAAGCTATTTGTCGAACTAATGAAGAAGCGCGGTGGACTTCAGATTTTTCTCGTATGATACCAGTAAACGTCACATATTTTGTGGTCGGCATGCAATATTGATACTCAGTTTTACGGTAAGCTGATATGGGACTCAGAACACTTGATTTTTCATTAGATGTTCTAGTAGAACAAACATATTGAATGCCTTGTATCTGCTTGTGATTTAATAATAATAATAATAATGTTATTAATAATTTATTGCGTGTCAAAATAAGCAGATACAAAATTCCAGGTTTAATCCTTTTTGAATCTAAAGGTATTTTTTTTTAAGCTTAACAGATTTGTTTAAAAAAAGCCATGAAAGCTACACTTATGTGGCTTCTGCAGGTCAGTTATACGGCTAGGGGGACATAGTATGGGGGGCTAATTGTAACGATCAGTCGTCTAGTTGAGTGAAATTTGTTAATGTACTCTTTGCTTAATAAAAAGTTATTTAACAAAATTTACTTAATTAGCCAACTGCTCCTTACTATTAGCCTCCTATACTATGTCCCCCTTGCCATATAACTCACCTGCTTAAGCTGCATATGTGTAGCTTTCACTTCTCTTTTTAAAGGATTAAAAAAAAAAACACCCTGTATAGATAACTATTTAGTGCCCCTCAATGTGAACCTAGCCATCAGAAATAGTCTTCTAAGAGTAATGTGTATTTCCATGGTGAAAAATCTGTTTATCGTGTAATTGTTGTTTCCCCAGAACTGTGGTTGCACCCATGCTGGACTCACGCAGCGCTTACTCCAATTTTTGGTGTGGGATGACCGAAAAGGTAAAAATCACTGTTTTTGTACAGACAAACACAAAACCAAGATCAAATGTAGTTGAGGTGCTTGAAGCATATTACAGTAACAGGCTATAATATGTATCATAACTCATAACAGAGTTAACATGTGGCTGATATGTCGGCCCTGAAACCTAATCTTATAACGATATTGATGTGGCCAAAGACAGATCACCTGACAACATGCTGGTTAAATTAAAAAAAAAAGGAAAAAAAGAAGAAAGAAGGATGCAAAAAATTTGAACACAAGAGAACTGTCACCTCCAGAATTAATACTGTTTATTAGCAGGTTTGCACATTTATCATCTGGCAAAGCATGACTATAGCCCATTTATGCAATCCATGGAAGAAGTACTATTGTGCAGGATGGCTTCTCTAATGTTCTAGGCACTGATAGATGGATGGCCATTCAGTGCATGTGCAAAAGTTAAACATGCGTTATAATCATTGATATGATGGCATCTGGCCTGTGAAAACACAACATGATTGGTAAGAGAATTCTCAGCTTTTTATTGGGCGAGATCCAGATTAGATATTTTAGCTTTTTTCATTCGTAATGCCGGTGATTTTAATTTTGAATAGTATATTGTCACGGATAGAAACATAGACTCGTGGGGAAACTAAAAACAAACGTTTGATGAGGCGAAATTGTGCCTTCAGCTAAAGAAAAATATTGCGGCGGCAACGGAAGGGCGATTGCCCCGAAGACACATACTACCCCTGCTTTTTACACTCACTATTTTCAGGAAGTCTCTGAATTAGAACACACAATAACACCCTGGAATGAACTGGAACTTTCCAGAAAGCGGTGATTCTAAAAAGACGATCTTAGCCGGCGGGGTTTAAACTCCATACCTTCACGCCGCAGCTGTGTGGTATGTACACTGCCAGCTCCGCCATACATACACACACTGATTTGCTCTGTCAGTACAATCATGCTTCATTTTTTTTTTTATGGAAGTGATTTTTTGAAGTGGCTCTTTATATTGCACTGCAGCAAAGTGTGAAGCCCAACTTGTAACAGCTTTACTAGAGCTCAAGTTGGGACCTTGTTGTGACATCATTGCTTGTCCTGCTTGCAGGGCTACTATCTACGGACAGACGACTACATGCCCATCCTGGAAAGAGAGAGGGTGGGAACCTTCTCGGTGATCATGGTCCATTCGGCCACGCTCGTGAACCTCAACCACGCGGACTCTCGCAAGCTCACCTTTGACCCTGCAAGACTGGAAGGCTACTCGGGGCCTCAGGACGACATTATCACCTTTGCTTACTCGGCCAAGTTTGCAGGTGACTCGACGACCTCCAGGGTTCTTTCTGTTTGTTTGTCTATGGGACTTCCCAAAGGAATGTGGCTTCCCGTATTACACATTTCTTAGCATGTACACTTGTGGGCAATGCAACCTGAAACAACCAAGCAGCGACTGAAAGATACCAGTGGTGCTGCCCTGACTCGAGAAGTTAACTAGCAATGAGAAATCGCATGCGGGCGAGATTGCAGTGGCAGTCTATTTGATTCAACCTGATTATGCTTGAGGACTGCAGGGCGTGACTGTACACGAGGTATTACTGGGCTGGTTTAAACTTATCCGAGACGTTAAAAAAACAATTTGAATGGCACAGAGACCACGTGCCCACATAATGAATGTGGCGACAAGTGGATGTAGGCAGGAACAGGCTGAGTCACATGGCGGTGGCCAGGACAGTCCCGTCTACATGGTGTCTCTCATTGCTAGTTCAAAGTTCTCGCTTCGAGGCTGTGCCATCAGTGTCTGAATTCGGTCGGTGCTCAATTGTTTTAGCTTGCATTGTCCATTACTGTACTCTGTGTGATGGTGGTATATCTCTCATATTTATTAATGTGAAAGCATTAACTGTCCCATGGAGTGAACTGATGTCATCAGCTTTGAAACCACGCCAAATGTTGGCCAAACGGCACCTAAAATCCCCTTTCCCAAGTGAAGCCAATTTCTGATGGCTTATGCTCCCATTGGCTGGCATGCATAATAAAGGAACGAGGCTCCCATTGGCTCTCGTGCAGCGTAGTTCCAAAAGAAGCCATTAAAGAAGCCCTCTCCATGGTGGTGCAGCACACACAGCAGCCCGGCCACCGGTAAGAGCGGTGCGACAGTGCAAGCCTGGCGGCAGAGCCCGCTCGGGCAAACTACAGGGACCCTCCTCGTAGTTTGCCCGAGCTCAGCGCGGTGCGGCCACTTCACGAGAGCACGCGCTCGACCTTAGGCCGGGGAAACGTGGCTGTCCATCCCACTACGTTTCAGACGAACTAAGGGAGTGGAAAAACGACATTCATGCTTTCACTTTCACAATTCGTAAGAAGTGCTTAGGTGTCCTCGGACTTTTAACATATGTTTGCCTCAAGGCCCGTTCACTTGCAACTGAGTAGGGCTGGCTGAGACAAGGCCAGTTTTTAAGCCTCTTGCGATGGTGTAGGACCAGATGTGCTGCTGCGGAGCAGGTCCTAAGCCATTGCAAGAGGCTTACAAACCGGTCTTGTCTCAGCCGGTCCCACTCAGTTGCAAGTGTGTGAACGGGCTTTAGAGCTGTTGAGCAGCTGCATCTTGTGCAGCTCTCTTGAACTGGGTGGCAGCCCTGGTTTTGACAACTTATTTCTAAGAAGTTTTGCCTTTAGGCAGCTTTGATTACATTTATTTATGAGGCATAACGCTGGTCTAGTCAAATGCATATTTTACGAGTGAGGTGAGCCAAACCTTGACAAAGGTGCTAAAGCCAGCAGAAACTTCATAACTTAATTTGAATGAAAGAAAAAAAAAAGGATTTTGACTTTCATTGATATGTATCTCTGCATTGTTAGAAGGGAACTCAGCTGTTTAGTTAAAGCAAGCCAGAGTTTACAATTCAGTTTCTCAGATAGCTCTTTTCTCCTCATTTTCAATGACAGTATGTAGTTATGTAGTACTGTCTATTGTACCTGACCCAAGATACACGAGGAATTACAAAACGCACTATCCTTACTCAGTGTAGAATGCGGCCTTCCTCTCCTTCCAGGCGTCGAAATGTTTGTCACAAACCAAGACCATTATGGGCACATTCTCGCCTCGACAGAGTCCCCAGCTCATGAAATACAAGAGCTGCTTAATTTAAAGCTGGAAGTCACAGGTGAGTACCTTTCTGTATTCTTTCCAACCCCAGGTAAGAATGCATCTGCTTTATGTGAGGCCTCGATCTGTTTCAATTTCATTGGAAGCTCTAGCAATGATGCTGCAATAACAATAAAATTTTGATCCCATGTTCGAAAACGAGAGTGGAGTGGAGGCATCATATATGTCACTTTTTCTTGCCTGAGTTTAGACATGGTAGCACTTGTGCAGGAATAGCCCTTGAATTCTTTTGGTCCTGTGGTTCCCTGCTCTTTTTTTACAAGCTTTTTTTTTGTTGAGGAATGGTCACCTGTCTCATTGGTTAAGTAAACCTATGCATATGCCCTGAGGCAACTTGCACAAACGTGAAAAATGTCCTTGAGCTGGAAGTGGGTGACAGTTAGCCGTTAGATGCAATGGGGTAAAAAATGCTAAAGGTAATGGGTACAGCTGTATGAAACATTCCAGGTGGAAAAATCAATGAGGAATTTAAATACCTTTCTACCTAACAAATTCTTGAAAGTGTCTTGCATACCTCTTGTTGTCCCCATAGAGGACAATAAGAGGCAGTATCCTTAATTGTCCTCACGGAGGACAATTAACGATATACTACAACGAAATTTCGGCACTCATTTTTTGGTCTATATGTGTTCAAAGGAGCAGCTTCACATCGAACATGCCAATATCTTGTTAAAAAAGTCACGAAAAGGAATTTTAAAATGAATTAAACGATTAGCAAAGAGCACCTGGTGGATTTCGCTAACGCCTCGCTTGTAATGCCCGTCTAGGAACCTTGACAGCTCGTGACGGAGGTTGTCTCGCCTCCGGCCACGACGAGAAAAGAGGGGCAGGAGGAACTCTCCTCTTCCCGAGAATGCCTTTTGTGTGTCGCAGAAGTCGCTATTGTCCCCCTACAAGATTACAGAAGATTATCTCGTCACTCAAAATTCGTACAAAAGCAGCCGCTTCAGTGGCTGGAACGACTAGGCCATCCTCTCGACGTCAGCCTCGCCGTAGCTTTGCTCGTCCTGAGACGACCTACGTCACGATTGCGTTGGATGTCACGTGGTCTCCACTGGGCCTTCTCTGAGCGCTTGCCAGAGTGGGCCGTTTATAACGAAAAATATAGCCACCAGGCTCAAAATACAAACGTGCGATTGTCATTTACGGATATTGTGGGTCATATTCAACGTATTTTTGAACACGACGGGAAATTTTCAAATTTCGTTGAAGTATCCCTTTAAAAACTGTCAACCTTTCCCTGTGCCACAAGATACTGTTGACATTTGGGCTAGTTGGTAGATTCTAGTAAAAAAAAGTGAAAGCCGTTTACAAATCCCTGTAACGCCGAATTGGAGCGCAGCTCTTGAGGAGGAGGAGTGAAGGGTACTGAGGGGAGGGTAGACCCCTCCTCCTCCCCTCATTCTTTAATATGCTCCGGGGGGGCGGTCACGTGACCTCGGGGGGGGGGGGTGTCACGTGACTTCGGGGAGGGGGGTCACGTGACCTCAGAGGGGTCACGTGACCTGGGGGTCACCTTGGGGTCACGTGACCTTGAGATGACCTTGGGAGGGGTCACGTGACCTTGGGGAGGAGACCACGTGACCTCGGGGGTCACGTGACCTCAGAGGGGTCACGTGACCTTCAAAGGGTCACGTGGGGTCTTGGGATCACGTGACCTTGAGATGACCTTGGGAGGGGTCACGTGACCTCGAGGGGTCACGTGACCTTGGGAGTCACGTGGGGTCATGTGACCTTGAGATGACTTTGGGAGGGGTCACGTGACCTGGAGGGGTCACGTGACCTTGGGGGTCACGTGACCTTGGGGGTCACGTGACCTTGGGGGTCACGTGACCTTGGGATGACCTTGGTTACGCCGACGGTGACGGCGACGCCGCTCAAGCCGGGAACGGGCCCCTAAGAGCTGCGCTCTAAAAAAAAATAGAGGAGAGTCTTGTTACTATGTTTTTCAGTAAAACGTGGTCAAAACACCTGTACAGTCACCGACCGATTTTTCGGACAGGACCCCGAAATTGTCCAAATAATTAAGCGGTCCGAAAAATCTATTTCAGCCAAAATATCAAATATTCCACTGCGTATTGGCGACTTTTCACTTGCTTGATGTCAATTTTATGTCCTTGTTCAACTTCCGCTTTATGTTGTTCACTTTTCACTTGTTTGTTGATCTGTTTGATCACGGTGGTGCGCTTTGTCGGAGCCTTCGTCGGCACAAACAGTGAAGTTGAAGTTGTCGCCATTTGGCACTATTTGGAGACAACGTTTAGTCAGCCAATATTAAGCCTATCGACAAAAAACCTTTGCGTTCAAAGACCACAAGAACGGCAGACGGCCGCTCTTCTTGCGGTTGCACTCGAAAAACATGGTCCACGAGAAGAACTGGAAGAGCCTTAAGAATGGGCAGGCAGTGGCCATGTGGGCTATAGCAGAACCGGAAAACCCGACTATAGCCTCAACCCAGCTTGTTTATTGCGTAGGACGTGGTTTCGAGGCGACAGGGCAAAATCAAAACAACCAAAACGGCGATGACTAAGCTCGCGGCACTATCGCAGCGACTGTTTTATGACTCTAAACTGAGTAAATCACACAAATTATGTCCGAAATATAGAGCAATAAGCTTTATGGCGTCCGAAATTTTGGTCACTCTTATACGTTAACTCTATGGGGTAACTGGCGATTCGGCGAAAACGTCCGAATAATTATACGTTTCCGATAATTCGGCTTCCAAAAAATCGGTCAGCGACTGTAATCCAAGAAAACATACACTGTTGGGAGGCTAGATGAAACAACAAGCAAATCTTGCCCAACAATTTATTTCATTTAGACTTCCACAGCTGTTAAAGCTGCCATGCTTATTCGTATACAAGTCAACATTTTTAGAGCGCAGCTCTTAGGCGCCCCCTTTCCGGTGTGAGCGGCGTCGCCGTCGGCGTAACCGTGAGGTCACGTGACCCCCCCCCCCCTGGGGAGGAGGGAGGAGGAGGAGGAGATGAGGGGAGGAGGTTGAAGGATGAGGAGGTGAAGGAGAAGGAGGGGGAGGAGGAGTAGCAGGCAGGATCGTGAGGTGAAGAGGAGGGAGGAGGGGTATACCCTCCCCTCAGAACCCTTCCCTCCTCCTCCTCAAGAGCTGCGCTCGAATTCGGTATTACAGGGAGTTGTAAACGGCTTTCATTCTTTTTGTTGATAGTATAGTTCTTTCGGATAAGAGGTATGTAGAATGTCAACCCAGAAGAGTGAGCAAAGTTTCTGATGTCGACCGCTGCTCCTAGCACTCTGGCGTGAACCGGTGAAGCTTGACACAAGTGGCACAGCTTGAGTATCACTGCATAAAGACACAAAGCTGGTATGGTAACCATATTGCTGGGGTGTGGTTGATAAAGTGGTAATTTAATGAAGGACAAAGGAAATACACGGGGCATGGCGTTAGACGCATAGCTTCCACAAGCCATCTTAGCATCACTAATACTGTTCACTAGTTCATGTGATGTCAATCTGTGATCGTTACATGGACCATGAACTCGACTAACGAACATTTGAAACAAGGTCCGTGTTGGCCATCATTGCTTAGCTCACTGCCAAGAGTATTGGGCGGTTTGATACTTTAGACCAATGTTACGGATAAAAAAACAAAGCGGGGATGGTAAAAAAAACATGATTTTTGTATAAGGCTCATCAAATTATGAGGCGCTGGAGAAAACCAGCCTTCTGCGTTAAGTCCTTATTTCAAACTCTTTTTATTTGCGTTCCACCCATTGAAAAGCATGCTGGAAGTGCCTTACTATGCACCTCTTTTTGCTGCGACCCAGTGTTCTTCAGCAGCAAAAAGGCCGTCTGCTTTCATCGCCGTCACCATGGTAACGAACGCCGAATTACCTTTTCGGACAGCACGTGTATCACTGCAAAAAGTGCGTTAACCCACCCACTCCCCGCGTGCGTTCACGCCGCTTCGCGATGACAGTCTGCGGCTGCTCATTACAAAACTATTAAACTTTGGCTACCAGACGGCGTTCAGAAAATCGGCGTTCGTTGCCATGATGACGGTGATGAAAGCAGATGACCTTTATGCTATGGAAGAACACTGCAATGCAGCGGTACGAAGTGCGTGCTGAGGCCCTTCCCGCATGCTTTTCAATGGGTGGAACGCGAACAAAAAGAGTTCAAAATAAGGACTTAATGTAGAAGGCTGGTTTTCTCCAGCACCTCATAATTTGAGAAGGCTTGCACGACAAGCATGTTTTTAGACCGGAGTTTGGAGATAGTTTGTTTTGCAACAACGTGGGTCTAAAGTATCAATGCGCCGAGTATCGTTTGTTTCCTAAAAAGATCATATGTATCCTGCACAACTCATTTAAGGCTGGAAAAATGATATTTGTTCTCATTCTAGAGTTAGTTTCATAGGGTACTTGAGTAAAAGTGGGCATAATCAATACAAGAAATTAGGATTATTTCTCAGTTTCTTGCATATTTATACTATAAACCTTTTCATTTTAGTGGTTGCCTCACAGGCGGATAGAGGGCGCTGAAGCTGTCGGCGCCATTAGGTTGCTTCAATTTGGTGGGTTTCGGTTTCAACGTGAACGCGTCTGTGTTGCTGTTTTACGTTGTTTTTGCTTAATTTTGTGATACGATTATTTTCCTTGTGGCACACAACCAATGAAACCGTGGTATTTAGCCACTTTGAGGACTACGAGGTGTATTTTAGCCTAAATTGTGGGCTTTGTTTTTCCAACCCCTTTGATGCATCTGATTATGGTTGGTTGCGAAACATCTGACTGATGTACAAGGAAGATTACCATCGTCTACGGCCGTACTCGGTTACACTAGTTTCCAGTAAAGACAACCAATGAAGAGACTAACACGTTAATATAAAGAAGCATATCGACAGCTTGATTAGCGATGTGCTGAATCGGCCAGAACAGATGAGCTCGCGAGTTTACTACTCACTGTTTGGTTTTCGTGGGCACCCAACCTTTAGTTAACTTCGCAGACTAAAACCGTATCGTGTAATGGCGCAGGTAATTGATATAAAAAAGTAGTATCGTCTCGGCCTCTTTTTTGTTATTCAATACTCGAGCATCTTTTGCCAGGCCGAGTAGGAAATTTCTTAAATTATCAACTCTGCTAAACTACTCATAAGGAGCATTTCGCGATATAGGCCCTAGGAAATAAATTATTTTTATATTAACATTTGCTTACTCAAGATATGATGTAAGTGACAGGTCCGTCAAGTTGAATCTGGCATTTGTCTCCCGTAAAATTGGCCAAATAAAGATAAAGGGCGCAGGAGGAGAAATACCTCGGAAAGTTTTACTGAATTCTAGCGCTAGGCGCCACTTCACGGACCTTTGTGAACAAATATTTATTTGGTTGAACAGGTTCGCGTAGTAAATTTCTCGGCATCGCCAGCCACCAAAATTAAACCTCTATTTGCCATCGACAATCCTGGACTCAAATAATTGTTATAAAAACGGCTCTTTTTTTTTTTTTTCGGCGTCAAGTGTTGTGGTTTTTAGATACTGGCAAAAGTTAAAACAACGTACGCAAAAAAAAAAAAGAAAAGCGTTGTCATTATTGTCCATGCGCCGAACCCAAACTTCGTTTTGGATTTGCAAATAGAAACGAAGTTATTTCTTTGTGCACGCTATTTTAAAACTCGCTACAGTTAAGTGTCCGTGGAACTTTCTTACGCGGGAAGACCCAACCTTTGTGTTAAAATAAAAGACTCAAAATTGGAGCGAGCACAGTATACAACTTCTTAAACTTCATAAGTAAACCGACCATCCGAATGATTACGCCGCAAAAAAAGATTGAGAACCTTATACACATGTAGGTGTGATATTATGAACAAACAAATAGTCTGATGTTGACGTACCATTACTTCTAGCCTCAAATAAAATGCAAGTTAGACGCTCGTTGTCTATCTCCTCCACGAGTTTCCTCACATCATGAAAACAAACTGTTTTTGATATATTATGAATACAAAGAATGATACTTTCAGGAAATACAGATAGTCTCCTTGCGCTGACTATTGACGCCTTCCGATCCTAAATGCGCAATATAAATATACGCGCTTCTTACTGAGAATGTTCCGTCACTATTAGTTAACAAACCTCGGTTTCATAAGGACCTTTGAACCCTCGTGATGTCTTAGTCATGGAGTAGTTTCCGAAGTAAGGCAAGAAAGCGCGGTGAAACGCAACGAAAAACACGGATATAACGCATCCGCCAAGGCGCGGAGGGGAGAGCGGAGCAGCAAGTTGAAGCAACCTAATGGCTGCCGCGTCACGTGATTCCAAGGTGGCAGCGCCCATGCGGAGGAGGATGAAAAGGTCTATACTTTGAGAAATACATATATCCACACACATGTCAGTGCCTATGAGACATTGCACTGGTCCTACATAACAATATCATATTCTCAGAAAAATATTCTTGATGTCACAATTTTCAATGCCATAAATGACTTGCCTTACATTTAAAAAAAAAAAAAAAAAAATTCCGCGAACCAGCAATGGTAGCAAAGAATTGATTATGCAAACAAATGGACAGCATTCACGGAGCAGTTTATACAAAGGTAGGAAATTTCATTTTCTGGATACACCGAAAAAGGTGGTATTTTGTCAGATTCATAAAATATAATATGATCCTGGAAACAAACTTACATTTATAGTATTTGCAATAAAGCATATTATTGCAAGTAATGATGAAAGATTGAACAAAACAGTGAAGATTAAAGGCCACTTTTTTGTCAGAGGCTTGCCTGGATGATGTATTCACTGAGCTTATGTGTCTGTCTCTTGCAGTCGACGGAGAGCCTCTTCATGTGTCCCCAGCACTTGTTTCATTTGTGAAGCCTGCCAGCAAAGACACACTTGGATTCGACCAGGTGACATATGACTCGCTGTCGGACATTCTTACCTTTTGATGCTGCAGTTGTTTCTGCTCATGTCATACCAGACGGTAAACAGTTGAAGTGCAAATGCTGTGTCTAGACATTAGGTGCCCTACTGTCAAGGGTATGGGCAGTATCAGTCACGTGAGAATCGTTGGTGTCACATGCATGATACTGATATTGGCTCTAGGAAGTTTCACAACGTTTGGCATGGTTTTGGGGTCGTACCTCTGGTTGTGCGATGTCCCAATAAATACTACACATGTCTTCTAGCATTTGAGTAAATCAGTGGTTTCACTTGACCTAATTCATAATCTTGTTGACTATATGAATGAAGTCAAGTCAAAGCAAATATAACGACGTTTTGCTAGTAATAATAATGCAGCAAATACCTGCTACTTCCTGAGCTACAAAAAGAACAAGAAACCAGTCTCTCCACTTCGTCATCCATTTTAATTGCCCCGATACATACACCGACAGCCCTTCTGCATCATTTGGAAAATGACAATTTTTATGTTCCGAAAAAAGGTGAGTTTGTTAAGATTTGTTTAGTAAAATTAGGTAGAAGCTTCTTTTCTGATACCTTAGACAAGGTGTGTTCGTTTGACCTTTGGTTAAAGGCAAACTTTACTCAGGAATGCTGTAAACATGCATGAGACTGTGTCTTTTTTTACTTTTCCAGGTGTTCAAACATAATCAGCATTGTACTTATTTGAATACAGACCATAGCACATCCATAACAGAAGATTATGGCAAAATGGATCTTCTAAGATAACAATATTTTGACAAGCCCAGAATATGGAACTGGGCTTTCGAGGAGGTGTTCTTTAGAGCCTTCTGTCGTTCATGAAACAATGCTTCCCATAGCTTCTGACATATCATGTTTCATGCTTATTCCAGATGTGCAAAGAGATATCAAATATCTTGACTAGACACTTGTATAAATGAGATTGCTTAAATGTAATTGTGACAGTTTTGACAAGTCTGTAGACTCTAAGGACTCCTAAAAAAAATTGCACAGTTAAGTTCAGTCTACCTGCACGAGTCAACAAACTTTCTGATCTCGAGCAATCCCCACCTGCCCCGAACGGCATCCGAGAAAGCAGTGCAGAAGCCTACAGAAACCTTGCGAATAATCAATGCACATGCTGGGGAGTATTTGATTTATAGCTGTGCATCCCTGGGTGGCTCCGACCCGCTAAACTAGTACTTAAAGTGGAAAAAATGTGCATTTAAGGGCGGGGATGGCTGAGGAAATTTGGGAGCGCAGGGAACGTACAATGGTACCCGGGAAAACCTCTCAGTTCCTAGGAACCCAGTTTGGGAACTTGTGCGGTGATGCTATTGTTATATGGGTTCTAATAATATTGAATTCCTGAAAGGGGCACTGACACATCAAAATCATATTTTTTTTTATTATCCGAAACGGTCGAAAACGATGCCGGGACATTAATTTGGGAATTCAGTATTCGTGAAGTAAAAAAACAATTTCCAAATGCCGAATTCGAAGTTCCCGCGCAATCGGCGCCGGTGCCTTGACGTCAAAAATTGCGGAGACCTGAGAGTCCCCTTTCCTGTCACCACTCCCTGCTGTTGCCATGGCGACCCAAAGCGAGGAGGAAAGGAGCGAGCGCCGGCTAGCGCCGGCGTTGCGGCGGACCGGTTTTGAGCGGTGTCGCCTGTTTTCCGTTGGAGGATACAAATCCAGGAGACGGCACCACAACGAACTCCCGATTTTTGGTATTTCAAAAAGAAGGGCCGTAGTGCGTTCGCAATTGCGTTAAAAAACATGTTTTAGGATTGCCGTCATTAAATGTTATAAAGATGCCGCCTACAAAGCTTCTAAATTTCCTGATTTTTGACGTCACCGATCAAAAGAAGCGAGGAGGCGAGAGGCGGGAAAATCAAACGCCAAAAATAAAAAGGCGCGGGTGCGCGCGGGAAAATTTTTTTTCGCGATGCGGTTTTTTTTGCGTGTCTATGGCGGCAACTTGCATCGTTTTAGACAATAAAAATAAATACGACCTTTGGGGTGTCAGTGCCCCTTGAAAGAAATTATCATAACGTAGCAAACTTCCTTCTTTATTTGATTAAGGAAGTAATTAATTGCTCTTAATTCTTAGTTGAGAAAACAATGAAACTATTCATGCAGCTTCATTCTTATAAGATTATAATGGTATCAGAATTGTTAATGCATTGCTTAAGACAAACCTGAGAAAGCACCTTTGTGGACAGTGGCACCCTTGAAAAAATGAAAAAAATAATTTTTGTTTTAGTGTTTGCAGACATGGGACTGTGTTAAAGCTTTTATCTATACTTACATATTACCTAGATAACATTCTGCACAGAGGAAGTTTGATGTATAAAGACATTAAAAAAGCCATTTTCTCAAACTTAATTACTTCTGCCACAACTTTTTTTTTTATCCTTTCAAGACCTATTCCTTTACTTATCTTACAGAGAGTTAGTTGAGATATTTTCTCCTCAGTAGCACGTCGGTGATTGTTCGAAAGGAACAAAGTTATAATGGGGATTTGAGCTTGTTTCTTGTTAATACTTGTTGTCATCCTCCAGTTACTTTAGACAATGATTGAGCACTGAAATATCACATTGGAGAAGTGTCTGACGTGCTCAGAAATCTCGGTTTTAATTTCGGGAGCAGGTGCTTCCTCCCTCCAAGTAAAGAGCGCTTGCTTCAAGCTCCTGAAAGCGGAACTCCATCTGTGTGTCTTGCCCATTTCATGCCAATCTTTCTGCTGCCTCCAGGTTTACCTCATCAATCTGGAACGGAGACAGCAGCGACGAGAGCGCATGGAGTACTGCTTTCAGGAATTGGGGGTCGCCTTCAAGGCCACACATGCCGTCGACGGAAAGTGAGTCCTTTGCTTTTTGGCACTTACTGGCTTGCCCTTACTTTCAGGGTCGGTTGCAGAAGACTGGGCAGTGTTAGCAGTTGTGTAATCAGCAGGGTAGGGCAAAAATAATCTTAAAAGTGTTTGGAAAATCAAATACTGGGATGCATGATAAAGACGGCTGAAATACTTAGACTGAAATACATTTTTAAAAGGGTATTGTGATATGTATCAGAGATACGTTTGAATATGGGAAAAGGTATCTTGAAATACAAATACAGGAATACATTTTGATGTGACTGGAGGACAGATACTGAAAACGTTTCTGTGAAAATTACTATTTTCGATGTTACTATACTGAGTATAACACGTCATGTATGACAGCTAATGTATTCGAAAAACAAGGAAGCATGTAGAACTTACAATACTCTGCACAATTATATGAGACCTTCGTTGAAACCTACAAATGATTATTACTATTAGTCACTCTAAGATTCAGACTGAATTTCGGTGTTGACGTTTTTGCGATGGAAATAAATTTTTTATAGAATTAACATATGGCATTTTGCATAGCGATAAGGGAAGTGAGCACCAAGTTTTTAATGGGTTGAAAAACACTTTCTTCTATAGCTGGAGCACAATTTTCCTTTAGATTTCTCATCCTTCTAAAAAAAAATTAGAGTGAACTTTAAATAAATTTTGTGTGCTAACAAATAACCTCAATATGTCACCGTGCCCTTGTTCAACCTGGGCGATATTATGACGTTACAGTGGAATGAAACACTATTCTCTTATCCTACCTACAATTTTTGGAATCTTCAGGAATAGTTGATAGTGAAGTCCAGGGCAGTATTTGTTATCTTTTCAGAATAGAGAAGTGGGTCAGTATAGCCAGTCAGTATAGCCAGGGAGAGGTTTGCATAATAGCAAAACATGAATGTACTTTCACAGTACCCTTCCCATCTCAAGACAAAAACAAGAAAAAATCTCAGCTTGAATTTGTTGGAAAGGCAACGATTCCTTGAAAATCGTAACGAGATACGTCAGCTCCTAATGTATCACAATACCAGGAATGCACCGGAAGATGTATTTCAATACAGAAGTACAAAGTACACTTAAAAATTTGTATCGCGAAACAAAAAAATATAAATACAAAATGGATTTCTAAAATACTATCGCGATACATTGATATCACCATACTGTCCATCCGTGGACTAATAGGAGATATTGACTCATTGAACAATGCTATTTCTAAAAAAATTCAATAATGCAGGTGTGCTCTTGTAGGTTTAAAACAACACAGCTGCTTTTTTCTTTTCCAGGCTTTTTGTGACAATTCATTTATGATAACTAATTTAAGTAATAGGAAATTATTGCATATGGTCACTTGATGGAAGTGAAGTATATTGTCCAGACTTTCCTAATTATTTTGGCGACATGCCAAATCGGCTTATAAACATCAGTGTGCATGTAAGTATAACCGCATTTCAAAGTAACTTCGATTTCCTAAAAAATGACGTGTCTAGGATTTTTCACAGTGGAGCTGTTAAGGGCTATACTCCGTTTCACCTTATGTTGTACCGCAGCGAAGGCTAGAAGCGGAAGCTCATAGCGTTGGCAGCTGCCCTTGGTGCGCGAGAGCTAGTGCCGCCGAGATGTGCCCTAGAGCAAGGAGCTCGCACTTGTAGCCTTTCCTGCGGTACAACACTAGGTGAAACAGAGTATAGGTTCCCCATGATCGCGCCCGGTACCAAAAATCTGTCGACATAAACTTACATAAACCTCTGGACAGCTACCGCCATCTATAAGCGACGGCGGCAAGTGGCCGCCGTCGCTCGTAGATGGCGGCAACCTTTCCAGCTATCATAGAAGAATCGATAGTTCAGTGCGTTGCTGGGAATTCATCGTAGGAAACAGTGCGAAAAACGGATGAGGACGAAGAAGAAACACGTGACGAGCACAGCGCTCGTCACGTGTGTTTCTTCGTCCTCGTCTGTTTTGCGTGCTGTTTCCTACGCTCTTATCAGTTTCGGTTTGGACTCGGGGTGTGTCGGCCGCGTGCCCTTTTGGGGAAAAAAGACTGGGTGCGGAAGGAGCGGCGACGTACGCAGCAGCGCGAATGGGTTCGTAACCGACGCGAAGCCGCTGTCGCCTCGACTTCCACTGCGTCCACCGCTCCAGACTCTCTTGCGAAAGAAGAGCACATCGCTCGCCTGGAAAGCCGCCGCCGAGAACAGAACCAGCGATGTAAACGGCGCCGGCGGGCCGACGCCACGGTCGACGATTGTGCCACGGAGGCCAAGCGCAAGCGCGAGGCCCGGCGACGACAGCACTCCACGCCGGCTGAGCAGTTCCCGGGTGCGACGGCGAGCTTCCGACCGTTCCGGAGGGAGTTCGTGGAGAACCCGTTTGGCGTCACGTGTGCCGTGTGCGACCGACTCTGGTTCGTCGAAGACGTATCCACGATTGGCGACGTGTCGGACTAGAAGCGGGAAACAGGCGCGTGCGCGTTGCGGCAGTGTATCGAGTCGGCACACGTCTACAAAGAACCGGCGTGCAGAACGTGCCGGGATTACCTGCTCAAAAGCGCGGTGCCCCGGTTCGCGACCGTGAACGGCTACAAGTACCCACCCATACCGGAGCACCTACCGAGGTCGAACGTGGTGGAGGAACGACTAGTGGCACCTCGACTCCCGTTCATGACTCTTCGGCGGTTGAGGTGATATAACAAAGACAACTGGGGACAGTGCGGTTGTCACATAACCAATTACCCAATCGCACCTTAATCCTTACATTTTTAAATACTTAATTTCCACCATAGTACAGCTTCGCTGGTCTTCCTTTTCTTCACGAGAGTGGAAAGGCTGAACGTTTTTATTTACACTTTTAGTTCCGTGTGAGTAGCTTAGATACAGTCTTTTCATCGCGGTAGAAGAGCAGTTGTCACTCAAAACATGTTTTAATCTGGGCTATAGTCCGCAGACTACACATGTCTAAAAGTCGGTTTCTTACACGGTGCAGACTATCCACAGGTGCGGACTATACAAAGGTTAGTTTTTTCTTGATCGTTTATTATGAGAAGACGTGACGAATTTTGTGAATGGTAGAGCATGTTAATGAGGGTTTATGCACGATACAAGTTTTCTTGTGAGTTAATAAAGCAGTCATTTGTCAAAGTGCGCTGTGTATGGGAATTTTTTTCTTTATGTCATGATGAAATACTTTTTTTTAACAGGAAAGCCGTGTATATTTTATACTTCGAGTGCACGCAGGGCGCATTTCTAAATAGGGCTCTGGAGATAAATATGCATTTTTTCTCGGGATTCTGTGATTGGCTGTAGCAGACATCGATTTGCAATTATAGATGTGCTATATAAACTGATTAAAAGTCGATGATTAGCGTTCTGATGTAGCAGATATGTCGCAACTAGAGATGTGTTGCCCATAGTCGGAATATTTATAGCAGTTCTTAGGTTGTTAGATTCAAAGAAAACTATTTAGATTTGCGCTAGTTACTGGGGAACTTGGGCTCTTCTACTACACAATATCGAAACTCGCAGCGAAAATCTCAGGAAAACATCACGCCCAACATGACTGCTGTGTACTGTAAAACAACTAAAAGATGGGGGCACAAAAAAAAAAAATTAAAGACGTTTACAAATTTGTTTAGCGCGAAATTAAAGCGCAGCTTTTGAGGTATTTAAATTTTGCTATATACCATGCTAAACGATTTGAGAAAGCAATATATATATTGCCGCGCGTAGTGCCGAGCAAGCAGCGCTCGGTCACGGAATTTGAGAAGAATCGCGTTCATGCCTACTCGGGGCGTAACTTTTACCATTTCGTCCCAGTTTCTTGTATTTGAAAGTGCTTGTTCATTCTAACCCCAAACGCTCGATGCTCGAACCTTCTGGGCCGAATTTTTGCGATGCCGACGCACACTAAATAAGGAGCTACCGTGACCTTCTCGAGTCAGTCTCGCTCTCGCTTGCTGTTACACCGCCAAATCGCCGCACGCTTTTCTGCTTTCTCAACACTCGTCTTTTAGTTTATTTGGCACCAGTCCGCCTATTAAACCTTTATTTATAGTTCATGTAATTGTTCATCTTCTCGTCGCCTTCCTTCGTGAAAATATATCTACAAATAAAGATCCCTTTCCTCACATACTGGTTTGCACCCTCCTCTTCCATGTTCTCTTTCCTTTGTATCCTTCGCTCCTCCTCCCCTTCTTCCATACCCTACCCTCCTCCCGCAGCTTCCCCGCTAAATTTAGCTAGAAAATTGACGCCACGTGACCTCAACATCAATTCAATTTCCCCGCTAAATTTAGTAGGGAAAATGACGTCACACGACTTCGTGCGTCGTCACCTATGAACAAATTCAGTTTCTCCGCTAGATTTAGCGGGAAAATTGACGTCACGTGATCTCACCACCATTTTAATTTCCCGATAAATTTAACGGGGAAACTGTGACGTGACGCCGAAGGCGACGGCGACGCCGATCAACGCGGAACGAAACGCCTAAAAGCTGCGCTCTAAAAAAAAAAAAAAAAAAAAGAAAGAAAAAGGTACCGGATTTTGAAGAACGCAACAACCGATAACGCTAGGAAGATAGTTTCAAAAGAACAATCTTTTTCACGTGGAGTTTCAGAGCCGCGGTAAACTACCGTATATATTCAAATATAGGTAAGGTTATACTTTCCGGTGTTTATTTATGGCAAAAATCGACGGATGTTTATCGGTGTTTATTTATTTTACCAATACCGGTGCTTTTTGGTGAATTCTCTCGTCCAGACGCTAAAAACGGTGATTATCGGGGTAAAAATTGCGGATGTAAACTACCACTGAAGACGAAAAACAGACCAAACTTTATTTACATAATTTACACAGTCTCTTTCCCACTTGATTATTGTAGTATATTGTCACGGGTGGTGACCAGAATGACAATAAATACACAAGAAGAAATAAACGTTTAATGTGGCGAACTTGTGCCAAAAAATAAACGAGTACAAAAGATAATAA